GGGAGAGAAGGTGGGGGGCGGGGGGCGAGAAGGTGGGCCAATCAGCCGCAGGTCCCTGCAGAGATTCCCTATGAGACGCAGCTACTAGCCGTTAGCGTCATCAGTAGCAGTGTGTGTGTGAATCGCTAACAGGAATGACCTTCCCTAATCGTCACATTACAACCAGGGCGTTATGGATAGTGATCCAAAGGGACAAAGGGACAGCTGATGAGGCGAGCGGTTAGCAGGGGGGGCTACGTGGGGGCGGTCTGTCGCTCAGTGGGTTAGGATGCTGGGTCTGTAACCGGAAGGTTGGTAGAGTGATTTCACAGTCTGGCCCTTGAGCAAGAACCATAACACGCGTCAGAAGCCTGATCCACTGGGGACTGAAGCCCCGAATGAGCCCTGAATGATTTGTTTACCTCTGATGTTTTAATAACCATGTTCTCAGTCTGAGAACCGGGGGCTGAGCCGCGGATGTCTTAAGATCCTAACAACCTCCACAGCCTTTACGGCCTGGGGACCGACTGACCCTGCTCTCTCAAACATGAACGATAAAAGCGTCTGCTGGACAACTAAAATGTACATGCGCCCGTCCCTAATAAATAACAGGCCACTTTTAAAGTGGCACCTATGAGGGGGACAGTCACCAACCTGCAAGTCTGCTTCACGACATGTGGCAGAAGCTGGAGGGGGGGGGGGCTGCAGGGGGGGTTGTTTGTGTCTGTGTGTGCTGATAGAGGAAGAGCCATGCTCACCAGAGGCCGCGCAGAACAGCAGTTCCTGTAGTAAATGCTGATGTCTGTTCATCACCCTGGCAAGGCTCTGTCATTCCCCAAGGGTCTCTGTGTTCCGCTTTCCATAAAAACCAACCCCCCCTTTCCCCGATTCGGCCCCTGCTGACACACGCTTTCTTTTGGGGCTCCCAGAGGATCTGAAAATCGTTTCGGAGCCCTTTAGAATTCAAACAATAATTGTGAGGGAATTTATTGCTGAAATACATGCTTTGAATGAAAGGCCTGATCCAGATTCATGTACGTTTCGTGTTTTGGGCTGGCGGGGGCTGGGCAGGGGGTAGCGTATAAATCAGGGACCCCCCTGGGCTGTTTCTTTGCTTTATAATTAGTTGTGGCTCTGCCTGGAATTTGTGCATTTTCACGAACCCAGTTCCAGCCCCAAATCAAAGTGAAGCTAAAATGAAGCAAACATTCACTGCAAGAGCACCAACGGAGATATCAGGATTGCTAATAAAGCTGTAAGCTCCCCGCTTGAGGAATCCAGTGAGCGGGCACCACCAAAATGTTTCCACTGACTTGTCAAGGCAAGAGTCGCTCTTCACAAAGCTATACTCGCAGTTTAATGACGGACCAGCCCCCCCCCCCCCCCCGCCTGACTAGGGGGTGTTGAAATCACACATATTAAAAACTCCATGACGTCACGTGCAGGACTGGATCTCTAACAGCGAGTCGAAAGCCAGGAATCAGCGAGGCTGCTGTCAGACTCTTACCCATGACGCACATCTCCAGCACATTTCATATGCTATTTATACCCTCGAACCAACACCCTTCTGTCATTTAACATCAGTCTATCAATCTGCATACACTGTCATAGTGAGACTGGCACCTTTTTACTGGGCCACACCTGAGCAGACATATTATCTTTAGTTTAGCTGATGCTTTTCTCCAAAATGACGTACTTTTGAAAAAGTTGGGTCAGCCAGTCCCTGGAGCAACTGGGTGGTTAAAGGCTTTGCTCAAAGGTGACATCATTCTATTGACACTGGAACGTGAACCAGCAACCTTACGATCATGGACAGATTGTCCTAACGTGCGGAGCCAGGTTTTGTGTATCACAGGCCTTGTGGGGGCCTCGGTGAGGTGAGTTTGAGTATAATTGTTCGATGGATATCTCCATGGTGGAGAAGCTGGCAGATCGACCGGACCTTACCTTGCATGTGGTCCTGATGCTTCTGAATACATAATTGACCAGGCTTTTGGTCACCATAACCACATGCTTAATCGGATTACCATCTGTTTAAAACTGGACATTCGTTCAGGTGCCATTCTCCTTGTGCCCATATTGTTCAGTTAATATCAATTATCAACATTTGTTATTGTTCAGATTATGTTTCATTGTGATTAAAGTGTGTCAAGCCTTGCACACATCTGACACACACGGTATGTAACTGGGGATGCAGAGGCCACCAGTGCGTGAGAGCAGCGGAGCTTGGCCAAGCCAGACTGGAGCTTTGTGTGTAGACAAATTTTTATAAATTCAAAGCAAGCACAGAAATCCTGAAATGCATACAATATGAGCACCCCCCCACACACAAACCCTTTTTAAATGGTTTAAGAGTTTTTTTTTTGTTTGCGATCAACTGAAATCGTTTCTGAGTTTTGTAGGGCTGACGTCACTGTGCATGGTCCCCAGCAAGGCCAAACTGCAAACATGTGTCAGTGTGTGTGACGTGTATCAGTCCCACTCGTCACTTCTCAGTCTGTCATTCCTCAATGTGTCACTTCTCAGTCTGTCATTCCTCAGTGTGTCATTCCTCAGTGTGTCACTTCTCAGTCTGTCATTCCTCAATGTGTCATTCCTCAATGTGTCATTCCTCAGTCTGTCATTCCTCAGTCTGTCATTCCTCAGTGTGTTATTCCTCAGTGTGTCATTCCTCAGTGTGTCACTTCTCAGTCTGTCATTCCTCAGGGAGTCATTCCTCCTCCTCCTCCTCACCGGGGTTGGAGGAGACCAGCACTGTGAATCGCATCAGAGACTGAACATTGTGTGTCACTGTAACCAAAAAGCTATGGAAGTCACTGTACCCCCTGGCGCCCCCACATAGGAGCACGCTGCATGGTGGAATGTACAGCCTGTCATCCACATGCAGCTGTGTGTGCCTCCTGCTTTGGCCATCTGCTCCACGTTTAATGCTGACTGTGGCACTCTCCTCTCCCTCTCTGAGGCTCCTTTTCTTTCCTGCTGAACTGATCGGTGGTTCAGCCTGAGGTTCCACACTCTTGGTGAGCTACATCCCATCCAGCCCATATGATGCTCCCCCAAGGGCACTTGCATGCACACTTTTAGTCTGCATTACATCCCCATTCCCTGTCACCAGAAGCCTGGCCCACCGACATTCCTAATCTGTGTAGTCATAGTGATTATCCTCTACTGGATGTTTGCTGGCTCCACCAGTGTTGGTGGTCAGCGCTGACTCAGAACCTTCAGTGGCATGGTGCTCTGACTCAGAACCTTCAGGGGCACTGTGCTCTGACTCAGAACCGTGAGGATCATGGTGCTTTGACTCAGAACCGTGAGGATCATGGTGCTCTGACTCACTTGAGGAGCATGGTGCTTTTTCTTATTTGCTTTGCGAATGCCTCTATTCTGGACACGGTGTTATATCAGCATTCACAGCAACCAATGGAAGTGAGGGCAGTGTACCGTCTAGCAGTGTCTGCTCTGGAACGTTCTGTCTTTGAACCCCGAGCAGCACACGTTCATCCCAGCAGCAATCTCATGCTGGCAGTCAAAGACTCAGATCCGACGGTCCCGCTGTCAGAAGGGCCGGGCGGGTGGATGAAAGGCCCTTTCTCGACAATGGGGTGCTCTGTACGGTTCTTGGACAGCTTTGAATCGCGTTTCCTGTTTGACTGGTGCTGCGTGGCATGTGATCGGTCCCCGGACCGATTCCGGAACATTACAAGAGGGTAAGTGGCATGAGCGAGGGGGGCCACAGCCGTCTCTCAACAGCTCACAGGAGTGGGCAGGGGGGCCAGCACGTGTCCTGAGCCAGTGTCTGTCTGACTCTGGCCTATGTGGGGGTGTCACGGTGAACTTCCCTTGTCCTATCGAGGCTGTAGAAAGCCAAACAGAGTAACGCTTGTCTTTAGCGATATGAGCTCCAGGCTCACAGACACATGCCAGAGGTCCTGTCCTTCACCCTCAGGTTTCCTATCTGTTTCCCCTGTCAGTGGTGAACAGGGAGGGCCAGCCGCTCATCGAGGGCAAGCTGAAGGAGAAGCAGGTGAGGTGGAAGTTCATCAAGCGTTGGAAGACCCGCTACTTCACGCTGGCCGGAAACCAACTGCTCTTTGGCAAGGGGAAATCGGTAAGTAACCCCACTGCTTCACCCCTCAGCATGGGGGGGGGGGGTCATAGTGCAGGTGAAAGGTCAAAGGTCAAAGCCTCCCAATATCCATGGAACAAAGTCAAAAGTTCACCGGAGGGCTACTTTCAATAGCGACATTGTTCCCTGTTCTACAGAAAATTAGCCGGTTATAAACAAAACACAAGGTGCTGAGAGTAAAAAGTGACCGAGGCAAACATTGTGGAAGAAAAGAACAAAAAAAGAACAAGAGGCAGGAAGGAGGGATGTCAGCGCACACAAGAACACCAGCATTAGGGAGACTCACAGCCTGGATTCAGGGCGAGAGGGAACATGGTCTAATGAAAACCACCCAGGGAAAGAAGTGCTGTGGTTAACCAGCCGGCACCACGGCCCGGCTAACGAGGAACACGCAGGTCGATATAAATCCAGCCATTCATCCGGCACTGGCCGTCAGCTAGCCGGTAGTGCGGCACATCTGTTATCTTTTACTATTGTGATGTTTGGAAAGAGCCTGTAGTATTTCTAATGTGTGGCTGAGTCATTATTGTAATTCGTTTCAGCAGAACAAGGTCTTTATTGTTAAACAATGTTTTTTTTTAAAAAAAAAATGAATCGCTGGACAGCAAACAGGGGCCCTGGGAGCGAGTCACGATGAACAGGTGTCGTATGGGGGGGGGTTTCACGTTTCACACTGACCCTACCCCCGATGTGTCCCCCCCAGAAGGACGACCCTGAAGATGGGCCCATCGAGCTAAGCAAGGTGCAGAGCGTGAAGGCGGTGGTGCGGAAGCGGCGGGACTGCGGATTACCGCGCGCCTTCGAGATCTTCACAGAGAGCCGCACGTATGTGCTGAAGGCGCGGGACGAGCGGCGCACCGAGGAGTGGCTACAGTGCATCAATGTGGCCATGGCACAGGTCCGGGAGCACCAGCACCAGGAGGCCACCACCTACCTGTGACCCACACAGAACCACCTATCTGTGACCTGCCCAGAGCCGTCGACCTGTGACCCATCTAGAACCACCTACCTGTGTCTTGCCCAGAACCACCAAGAACTGACCCATCCAGAACCACCTACCTGTTTCCCATCCATAACTACTTACCTATAATTTGTCCACCTATTTCAAAACCACCTACCCTGTGGTGCCCTGTATGTCCAATGTTACCCGGAACCAGATCTCAGGCACCTGTGTGTGAGAATGTGTTCTCAGTGTTAGACCAGGAATGTGCAAGGTGTGCTGATCAATTAGCGAGCGACCTGCAATTAGCAAAGGGTACAGAGAGACAGAAGCAGAGGGAAACATCTGCCTGAAAATTACCTTCCATTAGCAGGACTAACAATCCCAGCAGCCAGAAGGTTCAGGTTCAGATCCACACCAAAGCTTTGCTTCAGCCAAGCAGTTGTGACTGTGACTCTTTATACTCAACTGGATGGTTGAAACAAAACCTTGATCTGGATTCGTGCTTTCTGGACCTGAACTTTCTACCTCTGATGCTCGTACAGGCCTGGTTATGGCATGTTGGCGTGCAGACGTCAGGTTTCTGAGGCACATACGCCCTCGGGGTACTATAGGTCACCTCCCGTGTGACAGGGATCACCCTGCGGACACAGAATGCAGCCCTCAGGTCGATCAAACTCATCTGCGTTTAACAATGACCGAGTCATCTGAGAACGCAAGGCAACTTCTGGCAAAGAACTCTCTCTGTCTCCCCCCCCCCCCCCCCTCAGTCGATCATGAAACTAAAAGTCTGACGATGTTTTGAGACTCTCTGGCTGACACTGTACTGTACGCTGTGCAGCGGTGATCATTTTAAAATAACTCCCGAAGAGAAACCGCAATCTTGGTCGAACAAGCACTTTTTCAGGAAATGCTGACCTTTCCCTGCTGGGTATAATAACTCCCAGGCATAAACACGCTGAAGAAAGGTGGGCTGCATGAGCGAAGGAGAAAAAGCATCCTGGCTGATTTAGCTCTTCAGCTGAGTTCGCCGGGAACAAGGAAGCAGTGACATCGAGGGGAGAAGACGGACCACCTCAGTTCATTGGCTGCTTAAATACCCCATGTCTAATTAGAAACCAGCCCTCCAGTTTCCCCTGTCAGCACAGAATCCCACTCTGCATTATCCTTACCCATAATGCCTTGCTCAGTGTTTGTCATGCTGTAGTTGGTCTGTGATTAAGGCTGCAACAGCACAGTCCTACTCTAATCAGAGCTCGATCCATATAATAGGGTTGCGCTGCTGGGGATTTGACCACGCCGCATTGCCAACCGATCATGTGCTTCTCCCTATAGTTTAATACCTCCCAGAGTTTTGTTTTGGGCCAAAAAATATACATGCTTAAATAGCCCTGTCAAGGCAGCCTTACCAAATGCCTGAACATAGAGATAGTTTAAAGCATTGTTTAAATTCTCCTAGTATGGAAACCAGGCACTGGACCCACGGAGACTATCGCTATGTACACACAACGGTATTTGTCAGATCATGCAAATGACGTTGAAGAGTGCTGCAAGTAGGAATGGAGATGGCATGCAGCGGGGCTGTTCAAATCACGGTCCTCGAGGTCCGAGCACTGCCTTTCTTTACCTGTGAGCCAGGTGTGAAGCCTCTGGCCAATCAGAATCAGTAATTATTAACCTACCTGGGAGAACTGAAAACAAGGCCTGGGTTTGGAATCGAGGTCCAGATTTTAATGATTTACTGATACTTTCCACAGTTTTACTTTTAAAAGACAAAAGGCACAGACTGAAGGACAGAATCAAAGCTGAATATATTCTTTACTTTTAGTTGCAATTAAATTGTAATTAGTCACTTTACTAATGCACTGTGAATTAGCTGTTTTCATAGCACAATAGTGTGTGTAGGGAAACTGAGTGTCACACATGTTGTGTGCAGTGTTGATTTAGATGGAAAATGAGTTTATGACTTAGGAGTGTCCTGTAAACTTGGTTTATGTGTTTCTTGGGTGCCTGGCTGTCTGTCTCTGCCGATGGAACAGCGTCACTGTGTTCCGTTTTCAATGAGAATAACAAAATTGACGTAGAGCGTACTAAACCCCCAATTTTATGGCAGGGTACTGGGATGCTCCAGTTGAACACACTGTGGCCCCCCACCCTGGCCCATGCTGATCTGCAGCAGCTAACCTACGTAGTGTTTGGGCTGCAAGCCTTCAGCAAAAGGCATGAACGTGAATAAGAAAATCATGTGCTCACTCTTCCAATAAAAGCCTGTATTTTCTGCATGTGTCTGCTGCCACTGTGTGGGCGGTGTTGCAGCTATCCAGGCACCTGTGCCTGTGACCGTGTGACCCCCTTCAAGAGCCTGTCTCCATGGGTGCACATGACCTTCATCATATTTTGTGTGACAGAAAGAAGTATTCGTACACAGCGCAGGATATGTAACCATAAAAAAGTGAATATTCAAGACAACACGGATATGGTTCGTCTGTGGAGAGCTCCGTGTGGTGCAGAGTAGGCTAATGTTGCCCCCTTGTGGATAGCTTTTGAATTTCATAGGCGTGATTTCATGTTCATTCAGGTTAGTCTTTTTTTTTTACAAGATACTCTGTAGACTTTAGTGAGGGTTGTGAAAAGACATGAGTCAGAATATTTAAATACCAAATGCTGAAACTTATTCTAAGCCTTGTCGCACTTCTAAAAGTCTTTTGCCCTGATGACAGAGAATGGCAAAGCTTTGGATCGGTCTTTGAGAATTAAATACTAAAGGGAAGACTTTGAGTACTGAGCCTCAAGTTAAATTTTCTGCTGCTTTGCAGAATGTGTGAACTTCACACAGTATCCTCAGGCTGAAGAGTGTCCACATCACCACACACTTTCACATGAAAACGCAGTCACACTTACAGCAGCTCGAAGGCTTCATTAACTGCTATATGGCTGATACAAAGCAACAGTCATCACAGGCAGTAGTTGAGTGAAAAGGCTGTCATTAGCCCCGCCCACACCTAAATCATGCCCACGGTGGTACCGTCTGTTTCAACTGTCCATTGACAATGAACTGTCGCTGCTTTATACAGCATCAGCCAAGACACTTCATCATTCACACCTTCATTTTAAAGTTTGGTAAGCAAACACTCATGGGAGTTTTACGTACACAAAAATGTTCTGAGGGTAGAATGAAAAATGTTTGGTTCAGAGAGATAACCAATCAGATTGTACAGGAGGTGGGCCCAGACCACTAGAGGAGGCGGAGACCAAGATATCTGATTGGTTGGTCCTGCCTTCTCTGGTTGCTTAGTTATGCTGATTAGTTATCTCTCTGAACCAATTGTTTTTCCTTCTGCCTTCAGAACATTTCTGTGTAAGTAAAACTCCCGCGAGCCAAGCAAACAGGCAAGAAGCCAGATGCAGAACAGACCAGAATGGACCATTACTGCCAAAGGGCGAGTCGCTGATCAGCCCATCTGCTCCCATGTGATCTAACCCAACTTCAAACATCAGTATTTAACCAAGGTTCCCTCAGCCCAGGGCTGGGGGGGGTCAGCAATAGAACCCCCCCCCTCCCCCCCACCAGCTGGACAGTTCCCTCACATTGCTGAGCAGGCCGGATCAGGAGCTGACGGGCCAGAGCAGATGCAGAGCTCCATCATCAGAACTTAATGACACATCATGCCTTTCAGTCAGACCAGATCGACGCCGCTTGGCATGTGTGATGGATGGAGGGTGGATTTTATAAAAAGCAACTAATTTATTTAAACCTCACTCAAGTGCCCTGCATCTGATATGGCTGTTTTTGGGGAGGGAATGAGATTAAGCTAGAACAGACCTCAAATAGCACCCATCAATGTGCTGCAACCACCATAGTTACCACACAGGCACCCCCATGCACATGGGGGCATATTCCAGCCATCTTTGACACAGCATGCTGTAGAACACCTTGCTCCTACCCGCCCCGTCTCAGCGGCCTAACCCAGTTACCAAGAGAACCAGTCAGGATCTCCACACCAAAAACACTATGGAGATGGTTGGAGCTGCAAGGCTCTGTGTATCCAAGCACATCAAGTAATTGTGAATGCTACCACCAGCCACTAGCACCGGCACACCCACCAGGTCAGAATGAATCATCTGAGGTTTCACATCTCTTATTTTGGGCCTGGAGGGATGCCAAAGGCGTGTAATGTACACATATTCATTGCGATGAAGAAGAAAACAAACAAATAGGTGATTAAGTAACTGGGGCACCAATCATTCTATACATGGTTTGATACTCCTGGGTTAATCTACCACTAAGATCACATTCTACAAATTCTAACGAGCTGAAAAATACTTCACAACGTTTTAAATCCTTAGTCATTAACGGATATTTTCTTTGACACCCACGCGATTAAAAACAAAATATTTATGGTATGTTACAGAAAATCCTTGTTGGCTTCCTTTTCTTTCTATAGGTGGTTACGTCACGCGTCCGCTCTCTCGACCCACCTGCACGACGCAATGAACACGTTCAGCGGGGTTCCCACAATGCATTTCGCGTTTAGCGGACATTTTGGCGGAGTGATATGTTCAAATGTGAGCGGAGCAGAAGCGCATATTCCTGGAAACTACGTCAGTGGAGCTTCCCCTGTCAGTGACTCAGTCGGTTGATACTCAAAATGCTGTTAAATGTGATACGTAGTAAATTAAAAGGCGTTTTAAAGGCAGCTGTTAAAAAGTGCATTTTTTGGGAAAAAAATGACATTTTTTGTTAACTTCTAATTTACCATTTGGCAGATTTCTGAATCATTATGATACTGTTTATGTTTGTTAAGTTTTTTGCGCTTTTGTTCCCAAAAAGACATTTCGTATTTACTAGTTATATCAGGAGTGTAAGTAGTTCCAAGTCATGTGGTCCAATTGAACATTTCCATTTTACTGCTGGTACTTTTCTAAAATTACTGAACACAGTTCTACATATACACATGTTGGACTTTTTAAATTACTTTTGAAGCAGGGAAATACATGAAAATCGTTCTACCAAGACACTTCCCAAAGGAAGAACCTTGTGATGTAGTGTGCTGATTTACATATGACCTAAACGCAAACTGATCCGATAGCTAGCAGTTGCTTTTCCTTTATTTTGCAATTTTCTGTACTCATCCTCACCGTGTGTGCCAACGTAATGTGTCGATGTATTACATAAAGTAAACAAACGTGACCTGGTAGAAGTATCGTTTTAAATGTCAATGATTTATTTGTATTAACATTTCGTGCTAACATGCCCCATGTTTTTAAGGTTGTTTTTAATGTAACATTGTGAAAACAAACTGGAAAACAGCGTGATGCGATGCGGCTCAACAAAACTATCTATCAAAACTATCACAGCCAGGACGGTTCTGAGATTCCAGTCAGATGTAGGCATTATTCAGTTTAATCAGTCTTGGGCGGCAGCACTGTCCCGTTAAAAGAAAGGCACGGAATAATCATCTTCACTCCGTCTGTATCTCTAGCGTGCTGATGCGGCTTTAAACAGGGAAAATCGCGGCGCTCTAGTTTGTTTATTACTCAATCTGTCTGAGGGAGGGTCGCGGATGTGCACAATCTCTGGGCGGCGGCGGCGGTGTTCCGGCGTGCCTGCGTCACGGGCGCACAGTCACCTCGCGCTGCGTTTTCTCAACGGTCGTCGCGTTGTGCTCCAGGCTGAGGCGAAGATGGCCGCCGGTTCCTTTTCTGCAGTCGCTAATACCTCCACTAACAATGAAGGCATCCTTATCGGCGACAAGCTGTACTCCGAGGTCTCCCTCACGATCGACAACTCGCTCATACCGGAGGAGCGGCTTTCGCCGACACCATCTATGCTGGACGGCCTCGACCTCCAGACCGAAACGGATCTCCGTATCTTGGGGTGCGAGCTAATCCAGTCTGCCGGTATTCTTCTTCGGCTGCCTCAGGTATGTTTAAATAACTAGACTATCGTATGTTCTCCGTGGTATAATTTTTCATTAATATTAAATAACGCCGTCTCAGGAATAGTTAGGTAACATCAGTCACGATTAACGCCGGTTTCATTTTTGCCTTAATATAAACATTTGCCAGTATATATAAAACAAAGTTTCTCATGTACTATCCATCTAAATTTTGTAAAAATTAACGTAGTTGTTTACATACATTTTCGGGATAGAAAAATCGGCGTAACTGTGTCTCCAGCATAACGACAAAAACAAAATGGCGGCGCCGCACCGTGGGCTGCGGACATCGAGGGCCAGCGCTTCACCGGCCTATGCTTCTGCTTTCCAGGTGGCCATGGCTACGGGGCAGGTGCTCTTCCACCGTTTCTTCTACTCCAAGTCTTTTGTCAAACACAGCTTCGAGGTAAGTCTGCCTGCGGTAACCCGGCTCTCGCTTCATATCCGGAGGGAGGGGAGGCGCGGTGCGGCCCGGGCCGCCATGTTGTGTTAGCTGTTAGCCGCTAGCTCTCAACGCATGGGGTGATAGAGGGTAATGAGGGATTATACGTTGGCCGACGAGCTGGCACTTAGGTTGCCTGCGAATCCCTCCTTGGCATTCATTTTTACCACCCGGCTCGGCTGAGTAATTTTCCAAAATGGCCGTGTGCGTTTCGGGTTACTGGAGTGTCCTGCCCGGCGTGTGGGCGGGCTGTCCGCTTTTCTGCATCCGGCCCCTCGGCACCGATTGGGATCCCCTGGGCCGATCAGCCAGGATTTGTTTCGGAAGGTGTTTTCTGTGTCCCTCATTTCCAGATCGTGGCAATGGCTTGCGTGAACCTGGCCTCTAAGATCGAGGAAGCGCCGCGCCGGATACGAGACGTGATCAACGTTTTCCACCACTTACGGCAGCTCAGGGCCAAGAGGTAAGCGACCCCTTCCTGCCCCCACCCCACCCCAACTTTGAAAGTGCTGCCCCTTAAACTTCTGTTCCAACAGCCAATTCATTCCTTTCCAGTGTAGGAAGCTTTTTAGTTGAAACAATTTGACGTTTATTGCCTAATCTGATATTAGTAGAAACTGCCTGAACTTTTGTAAGTATTACTTTTCCGTCTGATTTAGATCCATTTATCATATGTGCTTTGCTCTTCTGCACTCTGTTTCCCAGTCCCAAAGGCAAAGGGGGTTTCTGCTGTAGTTATTGTATATTGAACAGTAGTAGGGAACACTGAGCTTTCTCCGCTTGATCCTTTTTCCTGTGCAATTGAGACATTTCGGTAGCGCTTTCAGCTTATTAGTTGACTGTGCTCTGAATTAAAATGGGCACCATTTTCACAACTGTCATTGGACAACTGTCTGGTGTGTGCTTAAGAAGAATTTGTTTTGTGTTAAACCAGGACTGTGGCATTAACTTAAGTTCTCTTTTCCCCTTGCAACCAACTAACAGCGACCAGCTACATTTACCAATGCCTGGGTGATGTGGAATGGTACGTAGAGATGAAGCTGTCGGCATGGCAACAGTGAGCGAAGTGTTGCATTCCCCCTCCTCCCGTGGGAGAAGCCAGTGGTCTGACAGCGGGTCACTGGAATCGGGGATGACAGGTTGGCCACTCCTTCCAGGCGTCTGGGAAACTCCTGTATCTCAGTCTAAGCTTTTGTCCCAGCTGCCAGCGCTTGTGGTAACTTCCATCTTAGAACAACATTGTCACTGCAGTCAGACACTGCCATGACCTTCACAGGAAATCAGGCATGGCTTTTGTTTTTGTATATCTAGTGTTAGATTTTACATATGGGCCACTGAACTAGAGCTTTTTTTATACTCAGGAACATTTTAAACGTTTAATATTTTGCATGCATTGATCCTGCAGACAAACAAAAGTCATGCTTTCTGGAAAACACCCACAATCACTCCTAGTGCCTTACATTTGTCTTTCACAAAAGTCATGTTTGGTGTTGGTTTCATACCGCTTTTTGCTGTGTTGGCTGTTTAATTTCTCTCTGCACTTGCAGGTCATAATCTAGAACAGTTGCATTTCTGTCAGTGATTTTTCTGCTATTTTGGTTACATTAAATTGTTTGTGCCTTCATACCTTAGGTGGTTCAGTCGTAGAAGTTTGAGTTCCAGTCAGAAAGGTGTTCAAATGGCAGGCTGAGAAATCGCATTAAGGGATGTGCTATATTGTATTTTTGTAACTTCAAAGAACTGTGGTAAACAGGTGAGATATTGTGAAAATGAATTAAGTGCCCATATTTTCCATGTTATTTTGATTACAGTTCAGTTCTCTGGAATTGTCTGTTAATCTCCAAATGCTTGCTGTGAAGGTACATTCAGATTATTGATTACCCTTTTTTTACTTTGATTGCAAAGTGCTTTAATAGTTTTAAAGCTGTAGTTGTGGATATGGAAGAAAAACACAGACTTGTTGTCTTTAATGGAGTAATTCTTTAATCATTCTCACTGACTGTGTTCAGTGCAGTTGCCAGAGGTCTGGTTAAGCAGATGTATAGTTTTCTGTACCTATAACGAGACCTGTTTAGAGCAGTTTTAGAGTATAGAATTTGGATGTCTTTTTGTTGCATTGAGATGTTTTGCAGATCAGACATTATGGTGGACATGGCAATGTGCTGTCTTGCTTGGGAGTTTAAGGTTGGGCTGCTGTGGAAGCTGCGCTCCAATTTACACTGTGGTTTCTGCTGAGGCTCCGTTGTTTTGTCAGTTTCTGCATGGGCAGCTGGATTCAAAAGCTTCCACTGAAGTTACAGGAGTCAAAAAGTTAGGACCTGTTGCCTTTAGTTGGTTGAAAGGGGAAAACAGGAGTAAAGAAAAAGATTTTTGTTGGATGTTTACCTGGGAGACATTATTTTCCTTTTGCAAATCAGGAGTGCAAGTCCACTGATCCTGGATCAGAACTACATTAACACCAAAAATCAAGTCATTAAAGCAGAGCGGCGAATTCTGAAGGAGCTGGGCTTCTGTGTTCACGTCAAGCATCCGCACAAGGTGGGTCACGTGGCACGTTGCAGTTTTTACATGGTAGTTGGCATTGAGCCTTCTGCCAAGCTCTTGGTGGGGTATTCTGCAGCGCCAGTGGGTGTCACACTGCACACCTGTTCTGTGGTGTGTGTGTGTGGGCCAGAATTTTAACTTGCTGCGGTTTGCATGTTTCATTTTTGGGGGCAGGAGATGGGTGGTTTGGGCTACTGTTAGACTTCAGGCTCCTAACGGATTGTAGTTGACTGAAGGTGCATAAAGTCTGCTGTCTGTTTCAGATCATTGTAATGTACCTACAAGTCCTTGAATGTGAGAAGAACCAAACACTCGTTCAGACCGCCTGGTGAGTAGATGATCGCTTTGGACTGTTGTTTGGTTCGACTTTCTGTAAAACTGCAGTTCTGCATCTCATGGAATTTCTTATTCAGACTTTCTCTTGTGTTGTGACTTAAGTCTGATTTTCATTTATACGTTTAAATGGAGAACTCAGTTTAACTTTGTCCTTTCTTTCTACTCTTTGATTAAAGGGTAGTCCATGATGGTAAGTCTCATAAAGAACCTCTGAACTCTGCTCCTCCAACCACATGACCTCAGGAATCTCCCCCCATTGGCTTCCCTTCTCGAGACAGCCAATCCAGTGAGAGCTCTCTGCCGAGATTCACTGAAGGGGTCCTTTACCATCTGGAAACATCATCTTATTTTCTTTGGGTGTCAAAAGGATTTGTATTTTTTGTTTGCTTCCAGGTGTAATTTTTTTTGTAGTTCTGTAGAATTAAACTTGCTATTTTTCTAAATGCGTAAATGCAACCAAGCAGTAAACATAGCAAACGTTTTTTAACTATTTTTCTGAGTATACTTTTTGAATGTAGATAAACTGTAATGCTATATTGTTGTTGCATTCTATACCTGATGTGGTCTCTAGAGATGTTTTTCAGGATTCCTCCCTCTAAGGCTTTGTCTCCCAGGATCCTGTTCTGTCGTCATCGGCCTTTACGCAATCAGTATCCCTTTGCACTAAAAAAACAATCGTGACCCACCAAAGTATATCTCCAGAAATTCCCCAATACATTTTTTTCTTCCTTAAAACAAGTTGTAGATCGCAAGTTTTTTGGCTTTCATGCATGGCCTATTAGCGACGACTTCATTGGGATTTTCCACTGGTAGCTTATCTTTTGTGACCTCTGGCCTCTTGATGGAGACGGTGGTAGAGCATGGCGCAGCGTACAAAGCCACATCCACCTTGTTTGCACATCTTTAATCTTTCCTGTTTGGAGCTTTTCTGTGTTTTTTTCCCCCCCAGTGTCCCACATTTGGTGTATGACCTATTTCATTATAGCCACTTTGGGTGCTTTTTTTGGCCAGTGTCTTTATAGCAACAGAGGAACCTGCAGGTCTCACCACAGTCTGTGTGAAACCTACAGGCTCTAAGAAGGGCAGTGTTTGAGGACCTCTCTGGATTTTTTCAGAGGTGTGAAATTGAAGATGGGAGTTAAAGCTCTAATCCTTCATGTTTTGCATACTGTAGCTATGCGTATACATGCTAATGGCTACTGAGGGATCTCGGTAGTAATATCAATTTCTCGTGACACCCCCTTCCCCCAAAAGGAGCCCATTTTGCATGCTGGTGTCAACATGGGTATTAGATGGTGTTTTCAGTCTCTGAACGGCACAGCAAATTTTTTGCTGGCGACGGCACAATTCCCTTTTGGCAGAAAGGTGTGTGGAGGATTGCAGGAAAGAAAGGACAAAGCTAAATTGAGTCTCCATGACGATAAAAGAAATGTATCCTATGTTGTATTAGAAAGTCAGGAAGTTACTGTTGCAACAAGGCTGTATGTGTGTTTTGTTTCGTAGGAATTACATGAACGACAGCCTTCGGACAAATGTGTTTGTGAGGTTTCAAGTGGAGACCATCGCCTGTGCCTGCATTTACCTCGCTGCCCGTGCTCTACAAGTGGGTGCCACATAGTTCTGCTTTCACTCTACAGTCTTCAGTGGCCTTTCTCTTTAGAATATTTCTGGCTTATTTGCTGATGCATCCCTTGCAGGCAGTCCCCACTCAATGCACCGCCTACTTACTTATGCTGTCTTTCTCACACCTAGATGCCTCTCCCCACTAAGCCACTCTGGTTTCTACTCTTTGGAGCCACTGAGGAAGAGATCAGGGACATTTGTATCACCACTCTGAAACTCTACACTAGGAAAAAGGTGAGCTTTTGGCCCACTCTATGGGCGTGGGGGGGAGATCCTAGTCCCTACATTCGTTTTTCATTTAGGTGATTTTTCTTCTTCATTCTAATCTGTTCTCCTCCGCTCCAGCCTAACTACGAGTTGTTGGAGAAAGAGGTAGAAAAGCGAAAGATGGCCCTGCAGGAGGCCAAGCTGAAGGCTAAGGGACTGAACCCAGACGGCACCCCCGCCCTGTCCACCCTGGGTGGCTTCTCTCCGGGGTCCAAGCCATGTAAGTTTCGGTGGGCTTCCTTGTCTTTGTTCCTCCATTCGCCACTTTTGGGAGACTAAGCCTCCCTGCTTCCATTTTTTTCAGGTTCTCCGAGAGAAGCAAAGGGGGATGAGAAGTCTCCAAATCCACAGGTGCTGAAACCAGTGAAAAAAGAACCAGAAGACAGACCACAGAGCTCTAAGAGTCCTCACAACGGGTAAGTCTGGGAAGGCAGTAGTTCTATGTGGCCCCTAATGTAGTACATTTGTGTCGAATTTCAGAAGACCATTTAAAATTTTACATTTTTGTCCATCCAATGTCTCAGTCTCAGGAAGGAAAACAAGTTGAACCGCAACAGCAGGAGTGAGAGTCGGTCACGCTCCAGGTCTCGGTCACGCTCCCGTTCACCTCGCAGGCAGTAAGTCCCCCAAACCCCTTAGAAGCTACTCTTGAGGTCGGATGACCTAAAGAATGGTCTATTTCCGGTTAATTTTCCAGGCAGTCCGTGTTTTCCTGTGTCTGAGTGAATTTCGGCCTTTGTGCTCACACAGCTACAACACACGGCGAAGTCGCTCGGGGACCTACAGCTCACGCAGCCGGTCACACAGCCGAAGCCCATCACCTCGGCGTCACCAGAACCACACCTCGCCACCCCAGCTGCTTTTGCCGCACCTAAAGCCCAAGCACCGGGCTGACGAGCTCAAACTGCAAGGTCGGCACGGACACAAGAGGAAGAAGTCGCGTTCACGGTCTGCTAGCAAGTCCCGTGAACGGGAGCGGGAGCGCGAACGTGACAGGGTCACCTCCGAGCCCACTTCCAAGAAGCACAAACACGAACGCAGTAGTGGCGGCCACCATAGGGACCGGCGGGAACGGTCCCACTCGTATGATCGTGCACACAAGAGCAAGCACCACAGCAGTGGTCACTCGGGCCACAGTCGACACCGGCGCTGAAACCTGTCCTGTGGTCTGGCTGGAAGGGGAAGGGCAATGTGGGGCCTTCATCCCCTCTCTGCTCCGTGATTGGCTTGTTCTGTTGCTATCATCTGCGGACCTTTAGGTGTAAAGTTATGAACTTGAAACTACATATTTACAGTGTAAAGATGGCTTATTGCCAACATATTACAATGAATGCTTTGATTTATAAAAGCAACCGGTAATAGCCGGGAATGGGGGGGTAAAACAATTCAGGAAAGACATCAAGATTTTGCACAGTTTAAAGTGAATACCTGGACTGTTCGTTTTGCTTTTCCAGGCATACGTATGTATACAGGAGTTTGCTGTACAGATGCGAGAAAACGGGGTTCTCTTGACATAGACCTTATTTTTTTACAGCTGACTGCAGACACTTGATTTCTGACCTCTTTTGTTAGAATCGTGGTGAATTTGTTACACTGGTTTTTAGTCTGCACGTGTTCATGTCTGATTTTTACTCAATAAAAAAGTGATTCTGATCTGTCTCATTGGTCTAGCTTGTAAGTCAGGGTTCTGTTCATGAAACCTGGTCAGCGAGTCTTTGCTATGGACAATAAAATGTGCCATTGCAACCCACTGAACAGTTGATTTCTGGTGATCTGTTTTGTGGTGCAGTATGAATTGTCAAACCGCTTACTCCATCCAGACTGCCTTCCAAATCTTGTCAAGACTGGTGCATCTTACAGCCTGTAGAGGGTGCTGTGGTTTCCTTGACTGGGCAGTGTGTAGATGGGGACAGACCAGAAAATCTTCCTGAAACTAATGTCTGTAAGGTAAAAAATCATTTTGGGAGAAATCAGTCCTAAAAGGGTGATGGGAGGAAAAAAAATGACTAACAGTCCACTTATTCACGTAAATGCTTAATGAATGAATGTTCAGTTCACATTAGAAAACTCCGAGGTTTCACTTTCCAAGAACTTGAGAATGCTATATAGTTATTCTCCTGCTCTGTCGCAGCTAAGCAGTTTCTGTTTTGATTCATCGGTTTGAAACCCTGAAATGCAACGGCAAGAAAGATCACTTCTATATTGTGGTTGGTAAACTTTTATTTAAAAATAACGATAGAGGGCGCTGCTGGGTAGGATAAGGCGTAACCTCTGGATAGCATGGAACTCTTTTTTTTTTTTTTTTTTTTTTTTGTCATGTCCGGCAGTTTAGCAAGCAGGATGTTAGTCTGGGTGCCTTATTGTGCCAACACTTTTTTTTTTTTTTTTTTTTTTTTTTTTTTTTAAATCACCATTCCCCACTCTGAACGCTGCAGCTCATCGATGCCGTTTTGAAGGCAGAGTGCTGCTTACTGCACTGCAGGCTTGGATGTTTGCTGAATGTCCAGGGAGTGTTTTTAGGACCCCTTAGGGCTGAAGCATGGTTGCGATAGTGAAGCTAGGAGGGGTAATGTTAGAAATGCACCTTCCCTGTAAATTACAGTATTGTCATCGAAGATTTCCCAGAAACTGCCCTTGTTGCTGTGTGCGTTTGCCTATTTGATCATTTAGTTCAAAATTGCTCATGTAAGAATAATGGTGAAAGGAATGGTACAATAGAGCCCCTCTTGGGGGTTTGAACTACCGCTTCCAACATTGTCTAGAACTCGGTGTTTTCTCAGGATCGGCGGAGGATGTGTGCTAGGTTCGGGGGGGGGCAGCCTGACTCTCACACTCAGAAGGCTCTGAGCTCTGCCAGAGGCAGAAACAAACCGACTGTATTTATAACATGGGTCTCATTTAAGGATGGATATCAGACACTGGACCCATGTTTGATCCTATTTCTATCACAAACATGGAACGCAAAAGCAGAACATAAAAAATCACTAATACTGCGACATTAAACATGCTGTAAACGGCTCCCACGCTGCTGGATTGCAGTTCCATATACTGCAATTTGCCACAATAGCTGTGTCTACAGCGGCTGTGGGCTTGATGACTGGGAAGAGACAGTCTTTAAAATCTGGGCTACCCCTGCTTTTGCAGACTGGCACAGCAAAAGATGCAAATGTGTACCTGCTGAGACAAAAGAATCTTCAAAACATATTTCTTTTCCGGTTGCTATATTTCTTGCTTTTCCTGTCCTGTTTTCTTTTTGTCTTGGTATTGGATGGCGTTTGTTGGCACACAGCATGCTCATAGTTGGCATTTGACCTGGTTGGTGCATCAGGAGTTTCCATTTGTGGGAACAGTACCCAACCCCCCCCCCTCCCACACCACCCCCCAATGTCATTCACCCCCACTGTGCACAACAATCTTCTGTTATATAATCAGTAAAAAAAAACAGATATTCTGCCCGGCAGTGATTCTTTCTTACAGTGTATTTGGTCAGCAGTGTATTTTGTTTATCTAAAACGGTGCCGATGGCTCGATGCAGACATCCTGTGCTGGAACAGTGTGAGCAGGCACAGAGCCCCAGCGCAGTAGTCCGGCTCCACTGGATGTTTTCCTTGCATTGCTAAACCTTTCCCACAGTCCAGGTGATGTAATGATAAAAGGGCAAGGGACCCCGCGTTCTTCAACCGCCACAGTTTCGCGATGACGGTAGAAGTGACCTGCGGCCAGGCGAAAGGGACCGAGGCCTTTTCTGGCAGCGGATTAAAGGGGCGAGTACAACAAAGGCAGCACAGGAAAGCGCAGAGCGGCTGCTCGCAGCAGTTTGTTTACAGTTTGCGGCACGGATGAAAGGGCTGGGGGGTCACAGGGCAGCGGCGCAGCTGCCCCGCGTGTGAGAGCACAACACCTACGTCACGCTCCGTGCAGCCAGGGCGCCCCAGCCATGTGGCAGAGAGTCACACCGAGTGTGGGACAGATCCAGGACTGTGTGTGCTTTTGGGGTGGGGTGGGGTGGGGTGGAGTTCACGCTGCCAGTATGTTATTTATTGTTAAGTTTACAGATTGCTTTACTGACTATATTTTTCGTTGCATTGACCGTAGCAGATTTTCATTAAGCACATTTCAGTCAGTGGAGGTGTCATGTGGCAGGCCATAGATTTACTGATTTCATGGTGTGGGTGGGGGGGCACTGCACGAGTAAGATTTTTGTCCATCTCACCTGAGGGAATTACAGCTCACCACTCCCGCCCCCCAAAAACATGTGCAGGAAGTGAGAAAGAGGGACACCCAGGGTAGGGTCATTCCTAGACCCAGCAGGAATGACTGTAATGGGTGATGTTGATGCGATCGGCTGAATCGGAGGATAGCCAGAGTTTCTACACTTTGACTTGGGACGTCGGTCCTCCCACACCAACCGGATGAGGCCTGTCCAGTCATGATGAATTCACTGTCCCTCTCACGCAGCCCAGAACCAGTCCTGACAAGCCGTGACCTGCCCAGGTCCTCCCAGACGTGACCTAGTCGTCATCACCCTTGGACAAAGATTAACAGCAGTGAGCTTATGAGTGGTCAGGACACCCTGTGCCTCACAATACCAAAGACCATGTGAAGCGCAGACAGTGAAGGAACATGCTCGTGACAAAGGGAGCTCATTCTCTGATAGGGTCATTAAAGCAGCATGCATGTGTTTTATAAGGCTGCCTGCCAATCACGTGTCATGGCCCTCCCCCACACCCAATTGAATCGAATTAAATTAATTGGAAGCATAACATGTTGTGATGCTTCAGTTTGCTGCTTGCAGCTCTGAGTATCTTGGTGAGAGGCAGGCAGGCAGAGCGAGCGCTCTCCCATGCATCGCCTCGCTCGGAGAATTAGTTCCATGCCATGCAGATTGTCTGTTTCCCTCCTGCCAAACTCACAGAAGAAGGAAGAGGGGGGTGGAAAGGCCTTGCGTGGAACAAGTGATACGGATCACATGGGAAAAGCGCGGGAGGAAGGGCTGGATAGGCGTGCGTGAGACAGCTCTTCAGGAGTCACGAGTATCTTGGTCTCTGGACGGGCTGCTTCGTGTCTGGGGGGGGGGGTCTGCAGTCACGCTCTCCTCTTCCTGCCGTGAGAGAGTATGTGTGTGCGTGTGTGTGACTGTATCCGCGCCTGAAATAAAGATACCGCACAATGTCCACCACGGGTATCGCCGGGTGTGTGTGCGTGTGCATGTGGGCGCTTCTGCGCTGACCTTTGATCACAACTTTGCACTGTTTGCATTTCTGAATGGAGTGGGGGGCTTCAAGCCCGCTCCTTCCTTCCCGTCGTGAGGCTGACCCTGTGACGAGTTCCGCTCACAGATGTGGGCCTCTTGCTTGAAATCCTGGGCAAGGTTGGCGGCAGCCTGGGTCCTGGGATGCGGGGTCCCGCAGGGGGGGTCCCCGGGCTAAGGGGGGGGGCTGTCCTCCGCAGCTTCACCAGCTGCTCCTGGGCATGTGAGAGGGCGGCCGTCAGCTCCTCCCGTTCCTCACACTCCCGCCTCACTGTCTCCTGCAGTAGAACGTTCTGGCAACCGGGAGGTTAGAGACAGATGGGGTCAGACGGAAAGTGCCAACATATGAGTGGGTCAAATGTCACGAGATCAGAGACACAGTTGGACTGAGCTTTTTTCTCTGTTCTTTCAAAAAGGTCAGGGATGCACACCACCTGCTGGACAAGTGATGTAAGCGCAAGCGCGGCACTCATGCAGTGATACTGCAGGTCAAACGCTCCCAGTCTGCAGACACATCTGCTTCACATTTGCCCTCATTTTCAGCAGCCGGGGCTGTAAGGGGATACCCCTGTCCTTCATCAGCAGTGCCAGCCAACACCCAACATGAGTGACGTTACCTATCCAGTGTAGCTGCTTAACAGGTCAGTAAATGGGGGCTTTGGAGAACCAGGAGCTAAGTAAAATCTGAAGGTGACCAGCATGTTTTCTCCAGACTATAGAGCACGGCTGCCCTGGTAGGGATCGAGAAGAGGTTGGGTACTTTCCCAGACTGCCCTGCGCCTTCACTTTGAAGTTAAATGTGCAGCAGGAGTGTGTAACATCCATGCTACGACACAGTGATACGACTGCTCTCTGGGGATGGAAGGTTGATCTAAGCCCCCACAGTCAGACTGTAGACCACGTTAGAGTAGCTTCTGCTTAAACACAGACAAATGCTAGTCTCCTCTGCCTCAGGTGTATCAGAGCTCTGTGAAGCCCCAGTAGCCCTGCTCTCCTGGGTTGTGGTGGGAGAGTAGTAACCGTACCAGGTTACTGGAGGGTAAACAGCTGGTGTGGAGCACGGGAGCTCGGCAATGAAACAGCAGACCTACCGGCCCTCGAGATCAGTCACATTCATACCTAATTACCGCTCACACAATGAAACGTTATTACACCCGTGAAATGTGAGCCGAAAATATACGCGAAAAAAGGTGATTATCGCAGTTCAGGCCTCAAGTTACCACAGAGCACTGATGACATCTCTCAGATAGGCTTCATGAAATCTTAAAAGGCAATTAATTAATAACATCACATCACAGAAAGGGGTAGGCATAGAGAGAGAGAGAGAGAGAGAGAGAGAGAGAGAGATGCCCAGTGGTTAACCTTCTTCATGGCATGTCGCGCCACGATATACTATATCGTGCCTGTCCATGTCACGCACCTCCTCCTGCAGTACACTCATCTCCTTCCTCTGCTCCTCCAGCTCCTGCTTCATCTTGCTCATCTGCAGCACCCCCTGTTGTTCATTGCCTCTCACGTGCTGCAGTTCTCTCTCTAGGTTGGAGTGCCTCGCTGATCCCTCTTCCACCTCCTCTCTCCTGCGCCGCTCAGAATCGGCGATGGTTGCCTTCGCCTCCTGCAACCTCTCCTGCAGCCTCTCTACCTGCTCCTGAAGGTCTCTCGTGGCCTCCTCAACCAGGGAGGACAGCTAAGGTGTGGACCAGGAGCCACACACACACACCCATAAACCATGGATGCCATACCAGTGAAGCATCATGATAAATTATGGTGCAGTTGGGCCCCTTCAGGTCATCCATCCATTTAACCACGGAATGACCCGTTCCCATCAAGCAGCAGGAGCCCACTAACGTATCACCTCATAGGGGTTTATTCACACTGATGTCAGGGCACCATGTTTTCACAGCTTGTAACAATAAATACTGGACTGTTGCTTAAAATGTGACAGCACGAGTGAAGTACCTTCCTCTGAAGCTTGTTGTTCTCCCTTTGGGACGCCAACAGCATCTCTTGGCTTTTGTCCCTCTCGGCGCCGAGCTCCCTCCTCAGCTCCTCCTCCTGCTGCCTGGACTGCAGATCCAGCTGGGCCCGCTCCCGCTGCAGTGTGGCCTCCATCTGAACATACCCACCTTCACCTTACTTCATGCATGTGCTACCAAGGTCACATCCCCAGATTCCCTGCCCAGAGGGTCTTTGGTTCCTATCCCAACAAGCATTTTATGAATGACTTTTCAGAAAATGCGGAGTAAATTTATGCAATGAACAAATGTCTTTCTAGTACAAATACCACGCTAAAAATTACAAGTTGTTTCCACAAGCTATTTATATGCTGGACTGTTGTCTTGTGCGCTCAGCTAAAACATGCAGTTTGGGTAAATGGCATCTCTAAATTGTCCATAATGGGTGATTGTATGTCCTGCAGTGGACTGTCATCCCATCCAGGGTCTACTCCAGCCTTGTAGGCATAGAGAGAGCCTGGGATACAGCCCAGCCCCCCGCCCCCCACTCCCCACCCTGACCAAGAATAGCAGTTTGGAGATGGATGGATGCTCTACAAAGATGAAACGAGCATGAGAGAGACTGTGTAGCTTTGAAAGTGGTATGAGATAAATTGCTTCAGGGTCAAGTTGATTAATGAAAACGAAAGGGAAGGAAAAGTAGCCTTGAACTGTTTTTGTGAAGTGTGACTGATCTCATCTGGTTCAAAAGGGTGTGAGAGGCCAGACCCAGCGTTGTGTGAGAACCTGATGCTGGTGGATAAGCGGCCAGAGCGTGTGCGTGTGTGCGACAGACCGCTTCCTCCATTTGGTTAAAGTCATGTCAGCTGCAGGAAACCAAAGGGGCTTATGTGCAATTTTACTAAATCAAAAAACATTCCGGTTTATACTACTGTGCAAAGAAGAAACCTCAGTGACCTTTGAAAAAAAAAAAACATGCATGAAACAGAAATGCAAAGCAAGATGAGAGTATAAGGCCGTGGGCCGTGGCAGAGATTGACGGGCCTGCAGCTTCACATGTACATGTAAGTCACCTTGTACTTCTATGAGTGCCTGTACTTTTACGTGTCGTGTGACGGGATTCCTATGACACAGCAGCTTCATTAAAAACATGGAAAGCTTCAGAATTTTGGTACATAACACATATGCGACTAGTGTTAGATATGATTCGATGAGATTAACATGTGTAAAATATCAGAAACCATATTTACCACAGCTGTAAACATACACGCGAATAAATATTTTCAACGTGACACAATTCCTTAGTGTAATTGAAATGGTGAATACCCCATTATGTAGACATGTCAGAGGTATATTAATCATGGTCTGTATTAAAAGCCTGCTAGTCTGAAAGCTTATATAATTGCTAATTATATCCATCCATTTTCCCCATCCATAGGAGAAATAAAGTTTGATTTAGATAAGCAGACCCCCAGGCCCCCTCTCCGCAACGGGCACCCGCCCAATCTCCCTCTGACACATACCTGTGCTGTTATGGCCTCTCCTTCTGCTATCTTTAGTTTCAAAGTCTGTTCCAGATTTTCCATATTCTCTTGGTGCACAAGAGCCGCTTCTTCACTGTGTAAACAGATAGAGAAAAGAACCACTGTTTACACATATTTGATAGACATCTTTTAGTAATTCCTCCCTCATAAACCCTAACCCTTATATTAATGCACGTCCCATCTATCACACATTCAAATGCTCTCTTGAAATGAGTTCTGATGACTGTGCAGGCCATAAAATGTGGGTAAGTTCATCTCTTGCTATCAAAAACATCTGTTGTGTCTTCACACATTCTTCTTAACCATAAATATGAAGAAATAAGTAATAAAAATACTAGGAATTTGTGCAAGCAATGTTTGCTTTGCTGTTGCGTCCTGCTTATCATGAAACAATAAAAAAACACAGATGCATGATTTATTCCTCCCTCCGGGTAAATCACAAGGCAAACAGGCGTCGCCATGGTAAAGATCAGTGCAGACTCTTCACCATGAGATCAGACTGCCTGCTCTTCAGTGCCTAAAATTAAATCTGCATTTTCCATGAGAGTTGGCTGGGACGACTGACAGCACAATGTTTCCGGCATCTGACAACGGATCCACCAGATCCCAGCTGGAATTCTGTGACATTCCACCAACACACTTCTGATTTGCGGTCTTCTGTAGGACAGACACAACCTGAAGGGAGAAATTCAAGCGAAGGGCTGGAGCTGAAAACAAAATGCTCCAGATGTTCCCTCCAACCAAACAAAGCTCTTTAATCCCCAGACAGAGTGTCAACAATGATGTCTAGGCCATCCCTGCACCCGTTTGACAGCATCTCAGGCACAGAGAAACAGCCTTGGTGCTTTCTCACTGCGGCCAACACAAGAGACAGGACAATCAAGTGAAATAACAAGGCTACAGCTAATGTCCCAGTGGCCTGCAAATTGTTCTGGAAGGATCCTGAGAGAGACAGCAGGACATGACTCTGGTTTCCTGGGCTGAGGCAGCTGATGAAAGCATGAGTGGACACATGATATGAAGAAAGCCTAAAAGTATTTCTGTGAGTTACGTTTTACATATGGGATGCAAAGATCCACATAAAAATCTACCTTTCACTTGTGGGAAAAAAACAAGCATTATTTCATCTGCATGATCTAACTTGAAATGGCATCAGACTTGGATAGCAGTAAATATCTGCACGGTGCTTTGATGGAAATCTCTTGGAAAGAGCTCCGCTGCTATTTGCCAAGTGCTCCTTGACTCAGTTCGACGCGTGTAATCAAATCAGCACCAACACATTAGGGGGGCAAACAGAAGTCAAACAGCACAAAGGAGTAAGGAACGGGGCGAGTAGAAAGTTCACTGGCAAGCTGGAATGAGGAGGGACTCCATGTAACAAAGGGAAGCCCCGCCCACCAGCATGGGGTCAAAGGTGAATCTGCAAAACAGAAAAGGAAAAATGTTGGCGCTCACAGTGAGCTGTGGAACGCCCCCCCCCCCCACGCAGCTTATCACCTGACATGAGGTTGCTGTGCATAGATCTCCAGGCCACACCCCCCACCTTCCAATGAACTCCAGTGACTCACAGGAGAAATGTAAGTTACAATGGCTACCTGTCACGCTGAACACCACTGACTGTGGGACTATGAATGAAAGACGCAGGACAGGTGAGAATGCGAAAGCATTTAATTGCTACATCCTATTTTAGCAGTCAGACTTAGAGCTGCTTTACAGCAGGCTGCTGCTTCTCTGCATTTTCTCAAGAAGAATTCTTACCTTGTCCATGCTGATCATTCCAGTGCCTACATAAGAGCTGTGGAATCGTGGCTTTTCCACAATTCACCTACATTCTGATCGCTATCTACTGGACACTCGTGCTGGAACAAACCAACCTCAGCATTTTCCAGCTGGGCCCTCCCACCTGGCCACAAGGCAGAGACCACCTGCCCAGCAAAGTCACACATAATGCCCTCTGTTGCACCACCGTACTCAGGCTGGACTGGGTTGGGGAGGGGTACCTCAGCAAAACGACCCCTGCCTTCCCTCAATACAGAATTCGATTCAATTTAATTCAATTCAATTCAATTCCAAAAACTTTATTTGTCCCCGAGGGCCAATTAAAAGAATGAAACGCAGCAGTTCATGCATACGTGTGGAGACCTTGAAGTCACGAGTCTAAGCCCCAGGATCCTGCTTCTTGGGAAAGCTTCTGCATAACAGTGTACTGGGCACTAAGGAAACCAGGCAGGATTTTGTTTTGGTTCTGAAATCGGTTCTGATTGGCAAAGACACTGAAAACAGACTCAAGTGTGCCTCATAGGAAATGAGGATATGAGGACTCGTTGCATTTTTATCATGTCCTAAAATGAAATTTAAAAAAAGAAATCCTGCAAGAACATTGTGATCAGAACACATCCCTCCCAATCAACTATTTCTGCTGGGCCAAACGACTATAAACGAACACTGTTTTCTCCTTTGGGACAATTCCTCGTGCTGTGTAAGACGGCTCCTTTAGAAAGTGACTTTGAGATACCTTCTACCCCTTGTTTGCCAGGCTGACCGGACAAACCGGGTGCCCAGTTCCATGACCCAGCTGCATGGAGGAGTACAAGGGAGAGTTCAGCCCACACAATCATACTCATTCTCATTCTCCCTTGGTCAAAGCCTCCAATGGCTGCTTTGTGAAGACAAGCGAGAGGCATGGGGGAGGGGGGATCTGCTATCAGGCATCAGGCTCTAGCTGTAACCAATGGGCTTGAGGTCACTGGAGATCACTGCGGCGGTCAGACACTGCGGCTGAAGTGAACGCGCGCTGATAGCGGCTGCAGGCGCATTAGCATTTCAGCTGGAGGACAGCCCTCACTTCCCTTAGCATCCCCTCAGCTCTCATCACCCCTCGTATTATTTTGTGATGTGTGAAATCATTATGACACATTTCATGTATGCTGTTGGAAAATACTTGTTCCAAAGGAGTCGGTTACCAAGCGAACTTCAGTAAAACATTCAGGGAGACAAAAAACAGCTGTTCTTGTGTGTTCTGGGTACAACAGATTTTTGTCACGTACTGAAAATATACATGTCCTAGGTAATACGTGGTTTGTCTGATATCTCCTGCAGTTTAAGCACTGTGATTTTAGTGCAGACCCATCACCCAATGCACTCTTCAGTTGTCACACCACTTGCAGTAAGAATAACTCTCAGTCAGTGTCAGCGAACACTGCGCAGACGGCACCTCCGGCAAACGTTCTGTACATTAGTGGGCTGTTCTCGAAATGTGTATGCAGTGTACCGCTCCCATTTCTAAGTGTAGGCGGGTGTAGATGGAAACAAGTGGCAATAGATAGAGGGAATTGACATACACGTTGGGTAGAGACAGATATAGCGAAGTGGCAATAGACAGGTAAACAGGACACTAGCAGAAGGTAACCAGGTTGGGCAGCGAGAACCTGAGCAGCTCACGACACAGCGGCCCGTATGAAATGCTGAGAGCAGACGGTTTTCCATGTAAGTATATCCAGCCGAACAGGTAATGATGACCTTTGCTTTTTCAACAAGGTTATCTCCTTCTGGGTCTGCTGCAAGGTGTTCCTCAGAGCTCTGTCATCGGCTTCCATCTGCAGGTGCTTCTGTGCCAGTTCATCCTCACGACGCCCTCGCACGCACAGCTGTTCCTGCAGTGACCGGCATCTCTGTTGACATGACAACCAGCTGTCCTCTTTCTCCTTCAGTTCTTGTGACAGCCTGCGAGTGTGGATCAGAATACGCAGACACACACACACACATACATCTGGGTGCTCGATAAAAGTAGCTTGATTATAAATAAAAGTCCCCAGGTACATGACAGATGAACATGAAGTTCCATTCCAAAAACAGTCTGTAAAAAAAAAATAAAATGGACAAATACAGTTCATTTCTACCGGATGGGTCAGAGTTTCTAGAGCCTTCATTCACAAAGCACCCAATCTGCTGCAGTTAACATTACTGGCATTCAGAGAGATGCTTTTTTCTTCTCAATAATTTTACAAATATTTACAAATCTATTGCCATGAAGGACACCTTTAATGTGACATAAAAGAATAAAGGAGAGCTCCATATGCGATAGGAAAATTCAAAGAGACGTGAATATGATGTGGAGAGCTTTAGATACCCAGGAATTACTTATACATGATGTAAAGTATTTCCATGTGCTTCTCAAAGCACACAACAATAAGTTGCAGGCAAGTTTTGAAATGAAATATCTTTTAAAAAAAATCAAAGTGCAGTCTGTGTTCTGAGGGGAAACTGAACACTGACAGCAAAAGAAACGTAGCATACATATGAAAGCTATTTATTACCCGTGTATCTGGCTGTGAAGTTAATGCGAATTTAATCACCCCTTTGTCTACATTCTCAGCCGCATCTCGGTCCGTGGAATTGGACGTGATGCCATACTGGCACGAGATCGGCTCAGTTACAGTTTTATCTCCTCATTCTTGCCCTCGCCGCCGGTCTTTGGGTCTCCATAAAGAATGTTCACACTCTGGGAGTATCTTTCCCTTTAACCAAGGGCATTGCTGCAGCAAGCCATTTATAAGAGATAAGAGGAAACACACAACGGAGGGTTCAGGAGACACACGCCCCCGACCCACTCAAAGCTCCATTTCGACACAATGCAAGTTTCACACCTTGAAGTATTTTGGATGAGTCAAGAAATGAAATATATGTCAGCAAGACACAGGGTAAATACTGTAAATAACTCCAAGGAAATGGTTTCGACATCATCGTGATTATTTTACCTGGAATGGGTGGTGCTCTGTTCCTTCTCCACCTGAACCTGCCTGGAAAGCAGCTCCTCGATCTCCTTAGCTTGGCTCCTGGAAGAATACAAAACATTTCACCACAAGTATGCTGCTGTGTAGCAGCGAGTCACGTGTATTTCATAGGTGACATGACATTGTCACATTTCTCCTCTTTGGTGTGTGACAGTGGTTGAGATAACTCCCCATTTTCTGGAAGCCTGGACCCATTAACACTGATTCAACCTCTTCTCAATGGAAGCCACTAGCACTGCAATGGTCTGCTTTGCCACGGGGACAACAGCCACACTCTTAAAGTGACACACAGCTGGAGCACATTACTATCACTTACTAGAGTGACTGACCTTAACCTTAACTGCTGACACAAGATAGACTTACATTGTTTTCGAAACATTCCCGCAACCTTGCGGGAGTGCTATGATTACGGTCCGAGAGCACTCATGCCACTGAGGAGAGCTTATAGTGAAAAAATGATGAGAATTTAAAGTGTCTTAAAGTCTGAATATATTCACTAATGCGTTACCAGTTAAGCATGTTAGACAAACAACAGCAGATTACCTCCTCAGCTTTAGAACCACCTTCAGCATTTTATCCCCAGCTGTCCCAGGTAGTGCTGACAGTGGTCGTTGTTAGTGATCGCACCACGCTGTACTTATGACTGAGTAGGGGGGCACTTTCTCTTAGCATGACTCTTTGTCTGTCGTAGGGATAGACGGACCATGTGTCGTACGGTCAAACCTCCACCCAACTCCATCCACTCAGCTGAAGTGTGAGACTTGCTCGCACATTCACCTCCCCCCACCCCCCCCCCAGCCCCTAAGTAATCCTCTTTCCCGACTGCTGGGTTGTCAAAGAAAGGACTCTCCTGTCACATGCGATCAAGATCCAGGCAGGACCTCACATCCCACCCCCCCGCCAGCATGTTCTGTGCTCCGCCGCTGAGAGAGCAGCCTGACCAGCCATCTCCATCTCCGTCTCACCCTCTCTCGAGGTCAGTAGGTGCCGCAGCTGATACTCAGTGCATGTTAGCTGGTCTCTCCACACATGAACATACCTGGACCTTTTGGTCGCAAAGCAAGTAGATTCTACCTAGCAAGTGATGGTGGGGTGAGTTATAAAAAAAAACCTGCATTATTATATTATTGTGATTATTTATCATATTAATAATAATAAAATTCCCTTCCATGTCACCTCAGGGACATTGAAGATGGAATTTCCCCGGTTTAATTCTCTCCATTTTGTTTATTGTTTTGAATCCACAGCAGAGGAGCTCTCTGACACACACGCTTATCTAACATGGGCTGAGATAACCTCTCCACTGAGAGTCCACTGGGGGGGGGGGCTCAGTGGAGGGAGGGCGGCTAGGCTTTTTGGCGACGGTCAGGTCAGGGAGACCTAGCGGCAGAGCTGCAGTGCATGGGGCGACCTGCTCCCTGTGAAGTCTCAGAGGACAACCTGACAGAGCACTCTGCGCAGAAAGACCTCAGGTAGCCATTAAACAGTCCCCAGCCTGCGTCTCACTCACATCCGTACTTTATCTACTTCTTCTCTCTTCTCTGTTCATATTGAAGAAATGTAGATGAAAGTGGAGACAATGACATTTGTCAAGCTGGACCAGAGGATATCGCAGAGGGTCGCCTTTCTGTGTTTCCGGCCAACTTAGCACCAAGAACCACAAGCCCCTGAGAGGCCCAGAAGCCACACCCCCATTCTGTGATTGGCTAAGTGCAGTGACATCATGCATTTGTTGACAGTTTAATAAGTGGCATATGATTTGCACAGAGAGACATTCTGCACTTTGGAACAGCAGTGTTCAGTAAATATTAAAAATTCATTTGGTTTCAGGAGCAATTTGTCTTGTGGAATCTAAACTTGTTCAAATGTCCAAGGATGGACAAGCTAAGTTCCTTTTTTATAGAAAATACACATGAAACTAGTATATGTTTCCTGTATTAAAGATATTTTTCTTTCTAATGGTATTAGGACACTGTATTGCAAAATCATCACATTGATAATTGTGACATACATACCATTTCCTAACTGTGTCGACAGCCCTGCACAATAAATTAATCAATCAGTTAGTAATTTTAGTTGTAATTGTAATTGTAATTGTAATTTTAACTCACAATTCCCTATGAGATTCACTATACTTCGCATCATGTTTCCATCCTGCTCCCAACTTCCCCAGCCTGCTTTTCATAAATCAGGCTCTCATACATAATGCTCAGTTGTTTCTGTTCCACTTTTCCTTCTGTTCTCCTCCCTCCTCTGCATTGCTCCTCTGTCCCCCCCGTCCCCCCGTCCCCCTGCTCTTTAAGCTACTCGAGTGTCGCATGTATAATTAATAACTTTGTACGCAGTGCCCACTGGGGACAGCAGGTCATAATCAGTCAGCTTCACAAGGGCTCATGGGTAAGCAGCGGAGGCCGGTGGCAGGCGCCGTGTTTCCCAGCAGTCTGCGCAGCCCTGACGCACTGCGCTCTGATGACGGGCACAGCTGCCCCTGCGGGTCTCGCCAAAGCCCAAGGGCCACGTCTGAAGGAGAAGCACGTCTCTAACTATACAGTGTAGGTGGGAGCGGGGGAGGAGGAGAGACTCAATGGGGTACAATAATAGGGAACAAATGACTCTGGAATCCAAAGCATGCAAAGATCCCTCACTCTCTCTCTCTCTCTCTCTCTCTCTCTCTCACACACAGACACACATACATATGCACGAACGTACCCACGCGCGCAGACAGACACGCACACGCACATCATGCTCTAGGGAATGGATACACATCACTGTGCCTCTCACATCACCTGGCATCCCGCTCATAGTACAAAACAAACACCGGAAGCAGGGGACACGCCCCCACCGTCAAGCGTCATACTGGCATCCCCATCCGGAACAACGGGCCAGGGCTGCATACTGCGGCAGCCAGTGAAGCTAGCCCAGTGCGGCACTGAGTGGCGGGGGTCACCATACACGATTCTGACACCCACACACGCCTTGAGCGGGTAGGACAGAGTGACTGCCTGCAAGGTCACACTGCTGAACACTGCCAGAGGGCAAAAAATGCTACTTCAAATCCAACAAGAGAAGGGAGGCTAAGAATCAGCAGAATCCCCCTGCAGGTCTGACAAGAGCAGTGCAGCCAGGTTTCACACACGTCTATAAAGTCACTAAAGACACAGAAACGCACACACTGCTCAGGAAGACAACAGGAATCACCGTTCCACGCACAGTGATCTCACTCTGGGTATATCGTCTGACAGGAAAGGGCCCCTTCATTAACTTCTTCAGCCTGCAGTTGCTCCTGTCCTTCGGGTGGCATCAGAATTACACACAGCCCATTAAAAATAATAAAGGAAATATACAAATTTCTCACCGATCAACTACTAAGTAAACTGACCAGTTAATTGGGGTCCGTAACTAAACCAATGCCACTTTTGTTTAAGACTGAAGACACACGTTCACAGCCTTTTCTTGTTTCGATTTGCAAACGTTTTTTGCCCCCATCCTTTGTTTGGCTATTTAATAATCAAACCACTTGATACGTTCCAGCTGCTTATTTTGAAAACGTGACCAGAACTGCATTTTCAGGGGACTGGAAAGCTGCTTTGGCATATTAATCATGCTTTGTAATCGCTGAAATGTCACAAATGTGTTGTTAAGAACGTTTCCGCTGTTAAATCACAGGTTGACTTGTCAGTAGGAGAAGGCAAAGAGGTCCGTAGCTGACTTCAGGTTATCTGGTTTCTGCAGAAAGCGCCCAGTGCTCACAGTGAAACCGGCCGCTCAGTGCTGATGATAAGCAGCACAGCTTCCCTGTGTCCACAGCACTGTACACTGCAGCTGCAAAAACACCATTATCAAGAACAGAGAAGGTGAAAAGTCAAAAGAATTTTTCGGATGAGAAAATCATCACATTGATAATTGTGACATACATACCATGTCCTAACTGTGTTGACAGCCCCGCACGATAAATTAATCAAATAATGGAAGTTTTTCCAAATGATCCGACATTGACACAATGAGGAAGAGCTAACATGACGATGGTTTTGTTTGCCTTTGCCGGGTACCTCCTGATCTCAATTGACGGCGCTGTCAATCTGGCATGGGAGGGTCGGTCACTTCTGATACGAACTGACGCTTATGTCAGACACGTCACCACCAGCGACACGGCCGGACAAACACCGAGGTGACGAGGGTCACTGTCACTGCAGCGCCGGCATGAGCTAATAGGTGCCACTGTCATGCTCGATGATGTGGAGGATCCAGGCTCCACATTCCCCATGAGCAGCGTAACTCCAGCTGAAAGGTGACAGGATTATGTGCGCATGCTTCACTCACTCTAGGAGCATTTGCAGGCGGTGGCACTCCGACCGACTGCCACTGAGGTCCCGCTGCACACCCGACAACTCCATTTTCAGCTCTGGAATGCAGACAAAGAAGGACTAATGTGACAAAGTGACCTTAATGTGCATATTCGAAGGCAGAGGCAGGCAGGGGACAGCCATGGACCAGAAGGTGGACTGCCTCTTCAGAATGTCACACTTCCCAGTTTGTGTGGGGGATTTTCTTCCCGCACTATCTCTCTCTCCACCTCCCCACTCATCACTTCCTCTCTTCGTCTCACTATCAGGCTGCATTGGTGCAGATAGTGTGGACAGAACGGCTGTCCACACCGCGTTGCACTGTGCATGCCATTAAAGCACTGAAGAATAAACCCGCACGGCTACATAGTCTGTGTTCAGGATAAGCCATTCGTCTGAAAGAAAATCCACAGGGAAACCTGGCAACCCGCTCTCCATCTAACTGTTTTTTTGTCTGAGAGGGTGTGCAGTTCATCACAGTACCAGAGCTGCTGAAATAGTTCTAAATAAAAATGTACATGCCCACAGAATATATAATGGAGCACGTACTTCCTTCATAATGTAGCTTCCCCTGTTTCCACCCTCCTCTGGTACTGTGTAGCCGTAAGTACCCAGACGCACAAACACTGGGCCGCACTGCACGGCGGGCGGGGCGCTCAGCGGCGTGTTTGACGCCATCCGTGTCAGGCTGACATTCCACCCCCCCAGACAAAGGTGGCCTCAGAAGTGGTTTATACTTTGTGCAAAGCAATTGATCCCTCATAATTGCTCTCTGGTCACTGTGACCCGAGCAGCAAGTGGAAAAGAAAGCCAAACAGGAGAGGAGAAAGAAAAGAAAACAAAAAAAAAACAACATGGACTGGCAACCCCCTCCCCCATCCCAGCTATGCTGTTTACGCAACGCCAGCAAGCCTTAACTTGTGAAGCGAGCATGTCGACTTCTGGTCAACTGAGGTATTACACTGTGTTCCCCGACCCCGCTCTTCAAAGTCCACATCATTAATGAGTGAACTAGCTCTGACCACAAGCACAGTGACAGCAGAAGTCACATGGGCAGTGACAAATGCCGTCATACAGACGCAAGACGGCCTCTATGTCTGACTGGCTGGCTTTAGCTCGGTGCTCCTCCACGGTCCCTCAGAAGTGCATCATCGATGCTGAGCCTGTCACTCCCTTCTCACGGTGGCATGTTTCTGCTGTGCTATTCCTGGAGCCTTTCGAGAAGCTTCACAAAAAGCCTTCGAGAGGCCCAAGGGCTCTGCGGAGTTTGCATTCCCTCTGGTAAAAGGGCCAAGATGAACAGATGACGCTGAACGACACATGCCCACACTTCAGGACAGGGGAGGGATAAATGCAGTTTCAGAAAACCTCAAGTGCACTGTAAATGCTTGAGTTTACCGTGCCAGTACGTATCTGTCATGCGACAGAGAGTAAGCAATGCTGCAATGCATTAACAAGAGTGTAAATTACATGTAGTGTGCTAACTTTAGAGTAAGCATTGGGATAAATAAGCTATTAGTACATACTATTCCAAAGTGCAGTAGGATCTTAAGAAGTTAGGCCATAATGCATTCACATAACAGGACACTTGAGAGCAAAGCATAGTATTCTAAGCTACAGGGAAATAGGTTTACCATGCAGAACCATTAGCATATTTATACAGTAATATATAGGGTTAAGAGTAAACAACACCACTAACTTTATTATTAACCAGTTCACATTAGCATTAGTATCAGAGCAGGCTACACAGAAAGCAGCCTATTCAGCAGACCCACCCTCCAGTTGTGCTCTGGCTTCCTGGTGCTGGTTCTGCTTTACAGCCTGGGCCCGAATCTGGGTCTGGAGCTCCTCCACCTGTCTCCGAAACCTGCACACCTCCACCGCACCCTGGTCCGCAGCTTTAGTCTGCCTTTCCAACTCTGAGGACGAGAGAGCAGGCATCACCCGGAAATATCCCGACAGGATCCGACGTACTCACAGACAGATTCGCGGACGGTTATCTACACCAGGATAGCAGGGGAATGAAGGCCATGTCCGAGGATACAAAAGCAGCTTGGGGTACCGTTAGCCAGAGCAGTACAGCTTATACGGCCAAAGTCATCAGGTATCGCGAATGTCTTTGATGGTCATCTGCGTTACATTTACATTTATTTATGTAGCAGACGCTTATGTCCACAATGACTTACGAGTGAGGATCAGACAGCACGGTCAGACAGTATCTATGGAACTTGTTCAAAGGCCTGGGATGAAACCACTCTGCCAGCCCCTGGATTTAAACCCACAACCTGGCGATCACGGGCACAGAGGCCTGAGCCACACACCTCCCCACACTGTTCAAACACAATGGTGATCATTAATCACCATTGGTGTCACTCCACCTACCTAAAAGCACCTGAGCAATCGCACCCAACCTGTCGAGAATTCAGGAATATTTATCGCCATATTAAAAGCAAATTTCCTGCTTTGCTTGGGGTGAGGTCACTGTACCAATTCAGATGTGTGAGAAAATACCACTCCATTTTATTGCTGCTATTAAGACGGCGTTAACGGGCCAACAATACCTGACAGTCAAGTACCAAAACAAAAACGCGGCACACCGAATTAGGGAAGACAAAGACTGACGGCTGAGGTTCACCACGAGGTCACAACGAATCATGCTGATCTCATCAAGCTGACACCTGCACGCCTGGCAGAACAACACCTTATATTTACATATTTAAATAAATATTTCAATATTTAAAGTGTGTTAAACGCGTTTTATTCTCCAAGGAGACAAGGCACGTGGATTCATACATGTACATGCAGAAAGCTGGTATCAGTGTAACCCTGCATGTGAGTAAACCTCTGCATCTGAAAGCACCCTGCCAGGGTCTCAGTCTTTGATGAGAACCCTCCAAGTGACTGTTGAAGCCACACCCCCTTTGCCCCCATTGGATGAGTAGCCAAGGAGGAGGGAACCAAGCGAATCAGATTTCATGGCTGCTGGCAGCTAGCCTGAGGTTGGCGGTATGCCCTGCCTTGCTGGAAAGGTCCAAACACGTCCCTCCACATCCCCAGTTGGTGCGCATAATTACAAGGACCTACACCCCTCTCTCTCTCGCTCTCCTTTCGCTGTGAATTTCCCTCCCCCTCCTCATGACCGCAGAAAGCAGACAGACAGGTAGCAGCGTATAATCACCCACGCCCATCTGCCCAGCCTGTAACCAGGTGCTGAGTCACACAGCACCAGAAGCTTGGGTTCGGGGGGGCCTGTGGCGTGACTATATGACCGCATGAGGGCACACCATCGATGTGCGAAACGTCACGGATTTGGCCAAAGCCATTTGGTCCAAGAGACCTCTGCTGAAAAAAGACTAACAAGAGAGTAGATCCACCCTCAGTCAAAATATATATTTTACAGATGTTTTGCTTATTAGATTTTTGAGAAAGCATGAAAACAATCTGGATGTAATGGCGTAAAACAGGCAAAAATTCTAATTCAAGCTGTCGTTCATCTGTGCGATTGTTTGTCCTTTTTGGTAAAACATCCAAATACCTGCTTCTCCCTGAACAGCAGGGGACTCTGTGACCCATCTACCTCCTACTCAGCCCATTAACTCCAGCTCAGTGCCCTGATATTGTTACTCAGTAATTATCCCAGAACAGTAGGCCCCTGGTATAAAAATAAGCGGGTCTTACCAAGGTCTAGCCGTGCCAGAATGCAGACGCTTACACTCATCCACTTATCTGACATGCGCGTGCAGAGTGACATGCAAAGCCGATCAGGACAGTGCTATCAGCTCTGCTCGTCACCTTGTTAGTAACACAAGTGCATTATGGTATCAGTGTGGGAGTATCATATTTGCAGCTTCATGTAATGGAGGGAGGCAATGGAGCAAACAAGGTGCAGAATAGCACAGTTCATTTCCTGCTTGGCTCTTAGCTACTACAGCAGGCAGGGCTCAAATTTTAACGGCAGAAAAGCAGAAGGAGAGGCTGTATTTTGTGCCTGTTATTTTATGCTGGTGTTTATGTTTGCATAGCGTTCAGCATAGTGATTACACATGTGGACACATACGGAAGAGGAGAGAGTGATTAAGGGTTGCAGAGAGATCACAGCAGCGGAAAGAGGGACCAAACAAAGAGAGGGTGGGAAATGGAAGGAGGAGTGTCACTGTACACGTGTGTGAAGGCCCAAAGTGACCTTTTCCCCCTCCCGGCTTATCTGGTTGTACTTCTGATGCACTAAGCACACTTTCGCTTTACGCAGGTCATGTCTGCAGTGTTCCCTACCTACAGTACATCCTATAATACTTGAACGACCCTGGACTGTGCATCTGATTCAGATAACCGGCTCATACTCGCTTGTGCGTAGTGGCTGCTCTGGAGCAGCCAGACACTCCAGTCCTTCCAGAAGCCCTTGAGCTGGAGGAAGCTAAGAGAAACGTCCTGCATCTGCTGGTGGGACGAGTGGAGTAGAGAGAGGGCTCTTTCCAGGGCTTTCTTCTGGAGCCTGCTGTGTGCCCTGCAAGGAGAGACCAGCCAGTTAATGTGCGAGGAACAGAGCGTTAATGTGAAGAGAAAACCATACCGATGCAATCCCGGTGCAATCTCTTTTCGTCAAAGCTTTCGTTAAGCGTTTCTATGTGACTTCTTAAAAGTGAAAAATAAATTTGGGTGGCTGGGTTAACCGTAATGGCCCATCTTCTAGGCAACAGTCATAATAGGATGAAGGCTGGAACCCAGTGGATGCCATCATGATGAGGAACTATGGAAACCAAAGCACAGGACATTAATAAGCCTGTGTCAAAACATCATCTGTGGTTTCTAATTTTCCATTCGTCTGGGTGAAATGGTGGTGTGATAGAGAATGAGCCGCTAAAGGCAGTCCATGGTACTTTCCATGGTGCCATGACCAGCAACTCTACCCTACCTCTGGGTTCATTAAACACGGAGGAGGAGCGCATATTATGGGTATTATTATTTTTTTTAATGTGAGGCAGGAAATGGCTTATTGTCAGAAAGTATGCTGTGAATCAGCCATACCTTCCCCATAATCATCATCATGAGAATTTACCAACCTATTAAGTGACACAATGTTTCTAAACTGCATGTTTCCACGTTTTTGGACTGTTGGAGGAAGCCAGATTACTTTGAGGAAACCCTCACGAACACAGGAAAAAAGAACACACACACACACACACACACAGAAATCAAACCGCCAGCCCTCGAGGTATTAGACTAGAATGCTACCTTTCAAGCTACAGTGCTGGCTAACCTTTTGTATTCCTTTAATAAATGTCCATTCCAACACTGCATAAAAGTATAGAACTCTAAATTAACACTGAAGGAAGAGTAAAGTTGAGAAAAGTACTTTTTTGGTAAACTCTGGTCTCTTCAGGGCCAAACATGGTAGTGTGAAAGGCGTTAATGTGACAGGACCAATGTGATGCTTTCAACAATGGCAGAGCCTAGAGTACAGAACAGGCCCAGCCGTTCCCTGAGTAACATCTGACAGCGCTCTGAACCGAACCCACTCAGAACGCCTTGTCTTCTTGTTAATCGCCTAGCTTAAAATCCCATATGTGCCAGGAGGAGATCAGCCAGAAGATCAAGGGTCTCCCAATATGCATAGTTGGGCACAGAAGCACAGCCAGGGAGCCTGTCTTTGTTGTCAAGCAACACGAAGTACCCACAAAACAAAAGAAGCAAAAAAAAACCAGAACCAATAAAAATGAGACAAAGCTGTCACTAGCATTAAGAGAAGAAATTATTTAGCTCGGGGCAATCAAGTATGCAGGAATGTGCTTTTTCCATGGAGGACACAGACAGACCTGACATTATGAGAGACTCGTATTCAGGAATGTATTTATCTTTGACCTGACCTCTTGGCATCATGCATATTTTTTTTTCTTGGGCAGGGCATGGGCACACAAGCCCATACTGACACACGATCAGCCTGGAGTGCCGAAGGGCGGGCAAGCTTTTCTCTTAGGTGGGTACATGAGAACAGCATGTCAGCCAAAGTGTGACTGTTTGCTGCCGACTTCAATGCAGCGGTGGTTCAGTTTCACCTTGAACAAGTCATCTTCAATTAGCTGTAGGTCACACAAGGGAGAGAACGTGGAGCCCATCTCGCCCATGTCTCTTCCTGCTTCCTCCCTGCTGCATCCAGTAGGACCCGACCTTGCAATGCCGCGGAACGGCCTGGGGCACACAGGTGCTTCCCATCTCCGGCTTCCCGCTTGCCAAGGCACAGGTGCAGGGCTCTGGGGCTGGCTTTGGGGGGCCCACTGCTACCGTGGGGCCATTGTCTAGTTAACATTAACATTCCCTCCCCCGCACCCAAAACCCAAACAAACAAAAGAACACGCCTGCTCTAAGCCTTTGTCCTTCGTTCTCCTCAGCTCCAGTCTTTCCTGTTTCCCTCTGTCCTTGTGCCTGCCTCCCATTGCCTCTTACACTCTGCCTCGTATTCCTGCCCTCTCTCCCTCCCTCCCTGCCGCACACTCGGAGCTGTCGACTGTATTGTTTCCCCGTTTCCTCACCTGAAGCGGCGGCAGCTCTCATGTGCCAAGTCCAGATCCCGCTGCAGGCGACTGCTCTCTGCACTCACGCTCTCCAGCTGTTGTCCGAGGTCCTGCAGCCTGACATGCACACGCAGCACGTAAAGGGAGGGGACCCATGTCATGTCCCCTTTAATTAACAAAAGAAGCACAAAGAGAGCGCTACTCTGCCTTTACTCGTAAAGCTCTTTTCGCACTTCTGCAATAAACAGCTATCAATGATGTCAGAGAACCTTCTTATAACAGGTCGAATCCCATAACTGGAAGACATTTCAAAACTCCTGACCGCCCCCCACAACCCTGTCCAGGTTAAATGGTTGAAGGATGGATGGATGGATGGATGACATTTCATCTACTATCCTGTGGTGGCTTTTTAAAAAACCTTTACTGAAAGAGGAAAGAAGAAGAGAAAGAAGAGACAGAGAAAAGTGGAGACAAAAGCAGAACAAGAAACAATAAAAGAGCCATGAAAATCCTGCCTTTAATATCTTATTTCTTATGAATCATTCATATAGATAAAATAAGAAATTAATATATGAAATATATGCAAATACTTGAAAGCCTAAAACATCAAAAGTCATCCTAACAAAGTACCTAAGAGGACCAGAAACTGGCTGGGCTGACAGAAAATGATCTGTCCCGTTACTCTCTAATATTCTTTGAGCATCGCCATCGTTTTCCACAGGCGCTTTTCAAAGAGCCGATAAACAAGCGAGGGGCTTTAAAGGGCTTAAAGACACCTGCTGACGTGTGACTTCAAAACGCACATGCAATGGCGGCTAATCCGACACATTAAAGGGCTTGATCATTATGCTGCGAAGGACAAACTCCTAAATTGGGTGAATTGAAAAAGGCAACGACGGACGAGCAGCGAGCAAGTGCCGGTTTAATCATGGGGATCCATTCCAGATATTCAGACAACCTGACACATAGAACCACGCCATGGGGACATCCTGCCACTGGTTCTTTTCAGAACTTTCAGCCAATCAAAGAGCAGCGTGGAGTCAGACAAGGACAGCTGGATCCATCACCTCTGGGCATCGAGGGTTTCTGCAGCTCACCCACTCCCACATTTGTTTCACTGTACATGCACCTCACACAACGTCAGTGGTAGGTATGACAGCCAAGTTAACAGGCAAAGGGCTGCTGGGTCAAATCCCACGCTCTGCATACCAAGCTGGCCAGATCTGCTGCAGATATTTGCTCTGCATATGGCATCTCCATCCACTGCAAATTAACATCCTACGTAAAATCGGTTGATACGGATTTACAGTGTACTTCTTCAGCACATTAAAAACATCATAGCTGACAAGTTTTATGGCCGGAACCTGCTATGCACTTCATTAAATAGAAATAAAATTGACTGCAGTGAAGTAAAATTGATTACACTCAAATACAGACATTTCCTACAGTTAAAATGATTGCACTTGATTACAACTCAACAAACAGATGCTAATAAAAACACAGATTCACAAACGTGTGTGTCTATGCAAGCGAGTGCATCATCCCGTGTTTGTATTTGTCTTGTCTTATGTTTACATTATGTTGCTTGGTAACCATGCATGATGCCATAGCAATCACTGTAATCGTCCAAACAGAAGAGGATTCAACATGTGCCGTAAAAACCTATGTTCTTCACCCAGGGCCTCTCTCACATGCTACATTTTTCTTTGCTGAAACATATAAACATTTAGAATAATAATAATAACAATGACATGTGGGCAGGCAGGTAATTGTTCTGTTAAAGAAGCGGATCAGGACTCTGGAGGTTTTCGGTCTGAGTTTCAGAACTGCTATTAAAACCGATACAAGCTAAGCATTCCTGTTCAGGATGGCCTCACTTTAAAACAGCATATGAGTAAAACGCAGCAGAACTGTAAGTTATGGAAGTCTCTGTGTTTCTTAATTTAAACACATTTTCTAAGAATTTGCTCCCTGTCAGGTGCACCAGCAATATGTATTCTTGCATTAGTGTGACCAAACACAAGTACAAGCGCCACGAAAATATGTACTGTTTTGTTCTTCCTCCAGAAAAGCCGTACCAGAAAATATTTATTGTTTGGGTGTTTGTGCAGTTGCTAGCGGTAACAACAAATGAGGACAATACAACTGCATTATTAAAAAGAAACCACTCCACAGTTTTCTTGTAATAGGCACTCCCATTATTTCAGAATATATGGTGTCACATGCCCCCCAAATTCAAACTGTATTTCTTTCATCGCCAAGCAGCAGTGACAATAACATCTTCAGGTTTCAGACTGTTCTATAATAATGAAGCTTAATATAGATCAATTGCTATATGCATATCCTGCCTTTATTCAATTTACAAGCATTTATAATAGTGTACAGGAGCGACTTACAACACAAAAATTTGCCATTGACACCAGGTTATACATCCAGCCATCTACAGTATTTTCCAGCAGCTTATCTTGGTTGCGGTCTGGAGTGGGCGTGGGGGGGGAGGGGGGTTGCCTACCTCAGGCAGCATAGGACACAAAGCAGGGCTATATCCTGTATGGGATACCACTCCATCACAAGGTGCGCACATACGAATCAACAAAAAGCATTATGTAATAACACAATTTCATGTTTTTGATTGCTTTTGATCAACGATGTGTGCATATGCCTTGTTAACCTACCCAATAATAAAACACACCAGAGCGAATCAAGACCAAGACAGTGCCGATAAGAGCGATGCTGCGGCATTGACAGGCAGGCTTCCACTTTCACTTCCGTAAATGAGTGCGTAGAGCGTGCCTCGCACACCAACGGCACCAATCCCTCACACGCAAATGGCATGCGCTCACACACTCTCATGCACCAGCCTGCGCTCCACGCACACGCACGTGCACACGCTGGAACGTGAAGGCGCAGGCAGGTGCACACTCAACACTCCCATCCATGCACTCGCGTCCGTATCAGTCATCCGATATGACTTTCCTTAGCAGCCTGGTATCTGCCTCTCTGCCAGTACCACGTCAGTGATGATGAGAGGATACGCACAGTCACACAGAAAGGTGAAGAGGCTTTCACACAGCTGGTATGACAGGTTTCAGGGACCACAGAACTAGACTAAAGCAACTTTCCCAGAGCTGTGTGCAACTGTATGCGGATGTGAGAAACCAACAAGCAACCAATCTGCCCATCAGCTTCCTGTTCCACCAGTTCTGTCAGCTGCATTCATATGGGTCAAGCACACACTCTTACAACGCATTCATATAGGTCACACACACAGATGCACAAACAGCCTCCCATATACACACACATACAAGGACGCCGCATTCATGTAGGTCACACACGATTCTAAACACACATCCATCGGTGCAGGAGATACCGAGCTGATTGTCAGTGGCCAAGGGAGGCTCCACGCCTCATTCTCTCACGCTCTGAGACTGAAAGTCGTAAACAGCTCAGTGATGTAAAAACATGACCCTGCCAAGAACCTTTATAAATTACGAGTACGCAGGATTAAAAAAATTATGTCTGACAACATTCAGGCATCTTTCACATCCTCTTCTACAGTTACGATTCACATTCTCTCGTCGTTTTGTTCACCATCGGCTAGAAACACGCTAAAGGATGTATACACCGTTGTACCACTGGCACAGAAACTAAGCTCATTAAAATTGGCTGACAACAGAAATTAATGCAAAGGCTCATCCACAGGCATAATTGCTGTTCCTTCCAGGACGGTTGCACACTCTATTGGCTGTTATTATTAGCAGCTGCAGGCGTACTGTAACAAGAACCACAATTACATGCATTTCTCTCCCACCCCCCACAAACACAAAATATTGGAGGCATTCATGTTGAGAGGTTTATATATGATTGAGATTTTTAGAGGTATAATTATATGCCACATTCACGTCACATAAGAAAAAAAAGATGCAGTCTTCAGAAATGAGTCACACTATAATTGGCTAAAACCCCAAATTAAAATTGCTTTCACACTATGAAGAAGCCTGCAGCACAGACAGGTAAAGAGTAACACACACAAAAACACAGAAAGACAAACACTAATGTACAACTATCAGAAGTTTCACTATCAATTAGCCAAGGTCTAGTATATGGGTCAGAGCCAGATTCAGTGGTTACTGACTATTACTTACTGTGGAAACAAATCACCATCTCCCACTCTCTCACCAACGCAACAAACACCCACAACAAAAACAAGCATTAAGCTATTGCTCACTTTTTCACTGGTCACTCCAGCAAACACAGAGCATAGCAATTATCTGCCACAGGCTTCACTTACACTTCTTTATATAGTGGAACAAAGGATTATTTTCTGACACAGCAACATATCAGATTTTCTGGAACAGTAAAATGCATCTAATAAAAAGTCATGAAAACAACTTCGGGAAGACTGGCACACTTCCTCAACTCGAACAAGTCAAGAGAAACGAAAATGACAAAAGTCATTTAAATGGCACCTCCCAAAATCAAAGCTTGAATATCAAGCGCTGTGGCGTGGCTGAATGCCACTGATTTCGCTTCGACTCAGGCTCCTCTCCAGTGAATATGGTGTTCCTTTTAATGTCAGAGCGACACCTGACAGCTCACCCTGCAGCTATTTTGTAAAAGCAGACAGAACTACAGAAGGGCCAGAGTGACCACACCACCAGCAATGTATCAGTCAAACCCATCAGGAGGAATGTGTCAGGGACTGAGGGGGAGTGGCTATGAACTCAGCAGTTCTGGAGGGGCGGGGTTTAGGATGGAGAACGGAGTACATTTCATGGTTCTTTTAATCAAAAAAATCTTGTCTTATTTCAACACTTTGTTCCACGTAATGAAAAATATATAAATGAAAAACTGGAGAATTAAGTAATCAGAAAATACAGTCGCAGTGAAGTTTTTGTACTTAAAACCATTTTGACTGTCAATCATATAACTGAACTCATTCAAATTAGGCACCCATTTGAAGAGTCTAGCTGCGTGTAGAATGGACATTAGTTTGGTGCCATGTCTGTACCAGAATCAGCCATGTTAACCATGGTCATGCTCACCTGACAGCTTGCTGGTGTTGGACAGCGGTCAACTCTTCCAGCTGGTTCCGAAGGGCCCGTTCCCGCTCAGCACTGCCTAGGTGCTGGTCCAGTTCCTGCTCCACAACACGCAGCCTCTCTTTCAGCCTTCTAAACTCGTGGAGGATTAGATAACTTACCCCACAGTACTTGCACACTGTCTCCGTGGGATCCATCTGCACAGCAACCAAGAAGTCAGTCAAAGCAAACTAATTATTACACATCTACTCATGGGGAATCTGAACAGCATTCAGTGCTGCAGAAGCACATGACTCTGAAGCACCCCTCACACTGAACCCTCGAGTGGAGTACTTGACCATTATTGTCAAGAAACTGAACCTATTTTCTTTAAAGTCTGAGTAAACAGAATTGTTAGGCAATTAAAGAATTATGACGTATGCCTCAAATCATCAAGACTGCCAAGAGGAACTTTTTGTCCACAAACAGTTCTAAGCAGACTGCTCGACATCCTCATATTGTATTGTTGAGCACCAATTTATGGGGTCTGTTTCCAGAAAAGCTCCGTAATGCCTTTTTCTGCTCCAGTGACCAAAAATGTCTGACTGGGAACAACCATGGGAATGGAGACTCGTCTCAGCTGGGCACCTTTAGCAGTCAGAGACATTGCCAATCAGGGCATTTTCACCACATGGTTCCTTCCACAGCATTTCCATATTTTCAAGGTTCTCTTGCTTTTTTTCTTAAGTTATTCAACAGATTTACTGGTTAAGTGCTTAATTTGAACTAATATGTTAGATAAAAGGGTTTTGTTACCTGGTGGATAACATGGTACAGAGAAAGTAACACTCATTGAAAATAATAGATATCACTGTGCAATATCTGTATATTTTGGACTTTGGATTTTTCAGACCCATATGATAAGATTCATCAAAACCCAATGCAAAAACCATAGACCTCTGAATAAACCAAAAACATTACGGCAGCAGATACAGCAGGTTAAATAAATGGTTTGTTGCTTGGTATCTAGTCCAACTTCTAACAGATGGACCAGCATTAGCATTTCGCCAAAGAAGCAAACACCAAAAACTGTACCATTCATGCATAATTTGTGTAGTTTGGAAGCTCATGTCGATGAAAATATGTAAGTCAGGCTAACATTACTTGTTGTGCCTTGACACTACTGACAGGCATGTAAGTTATAGTGTCAAGCGAAAATTTAGCAGAATAATAAATTAGGGCAAGCATCTAGCCTGTCACACCACACCTCACCCTTTAGCTCACAGCGCAGGCGATGCTCTCCAAGCTAACACCATTTTTAGCGCGCTGCACAGACCCTAAACAACTTCAGCCCTTCACTCATCACGCCTGAATTAGCAGGTCAATGATTCACGCAGGGGTTCAGTCCATAAGTTGGGTTTTAACAGACCTGAGGGATTTGGATGCTGCCCCTGAATTTTGCTTTCACCCTTAATTAAGTTACATTTTGGCCCCGGATTAAGAACAAACATTCTCTTGAGACAAGAAAACTGTGCCACTCTTTACCTTCTGTGCACTTTTCTGTCATCACTTCCATTTGTTGTATGTCACAGCCAACCACATAAGTACGTAACAGTTTTCGTCTTTGTTTTGATGTTCAGAGATGCATTCCTCTTGCTCATAATTTCCCCAGTGGCGCTTTGCAAGTGTGTGCGTGCATGCATGCATGTGAGAGTCTGTGCAAGCACACGTGACTGGGGGCTAGTCGATTTTCACTGAGATAAGCCCCCCCGGCATGCCCAGTGTAGAACCAGGCCCTGAGATAAACCTCTTTTAGACACCTCAGTGCTACTCACAACACGAGGAGAGACCTGCCAAGTCTGGGGGGCACAAAAGGCTGGGATTCAAATGAGGGCAAGAAGAAGCAAAGTGCAGAGAGGATAAAGATGAGGGACAATGGCTGTTTAATTTCACTTCAGAAGAACCTCTGGGATCTGAAATGTACCCTCCAAATGACTCTCCTGCGTTTTGCTGTAATGAATAAATCAGGCAACGGCCAAAATACAGCACAGCTCTCAGTCCTGAAGCAACCGCGCATTCACCCGGAGATGCCTGTAGGAACATGCTACTCTCTCTCATGGAGAATGCACAGGTTATGCAAGAACACAAGACACGCTGCGCCCGCCAGGAATGGAAGTGTGTACGTGTGCCCGCGTGGATGAAAAGACACTGAAACATCATTGGAACGCAAGGCCAACTATATAACACAGGTGCAGCCATCACCCTGTTGTCCACAAGGGCCGAAATGTGTCTGAGTTTTAGCCATCTATTATTTACATGCAAGCAAAGCGGATGGCCCGCGGGGGTCCACGCGACACGGCTTTCTCCGAGTAAACACCCGCTATGCTCTCATCAAACATGCATAGAGGAGAAAGCCTGACAATCACCCGCAGCCCAGCAGGTGGTGTCTTCCAGAAGTGAAAGAGAAGCCAGTGGTGAGAGACAGCAGCCAGGAAAGGTGGGGGGGGGGGACATGCTGTTCCCCGGGGAGTCTGCTGCATTACTCAGATGGCCCAACTCATGTTTACTGGCCCAGAAATGACAGCAATCACATCAGAAGCCGGCCTACATTAGAACAAGGCACCAACACATCAGAATCACTGTGCCACTGCCTCATTTTACACACCTAGGGCTACTCTGCTGTCTAATACACCCATCAGGGGTCTGCACACAGTCATGCGCCGTCTCTCTTCTCTGTGCAGGCACACAGTGTATCTAGGCCTCAGAGCACAGCGCCTGCTCTTTTCTGCTGTTTTAGTCTTGGCTGCTTGTGGAAGATGACGACACTGTACCTTTTGAATAAAATGAATTTTTATGGTGATCGAAGAGTATCATTCAGTCTGCATGCGTCAGCTCTGACGGTTTTTGTTTTACACTTAGATTACATTTCTTCAGCACAGATGGACACCCATGAAACAAGAGTGACTCAAGATCCTCTACCTTATAAATCGTGGTTTAAACAAAGCGCGATTCACCTGTTGAATTTCCAGCGGCAGAGGGTAGATAGGGCTGTATCTTTCAAATTCCTCACCTTCTCTGCTTGGGTCTCCTAAATAACAGAATAATATATTTTTTAAAAAACCTTTAAGTCTTACGTAGGCGGACGTAAGTGTAGATATGTGGGTATGTGGCGTCTGTACATTTCCATTATTACACACTGATAATATTTTTATTTTTTATATTCAAAAGCTATTCTTTATTTTATCAATTACAGAACTTTTTCAGACACAAAAATGTCATTATAAACAGTTTATTTTAAGGTATTCCAACGCCAACGTCGGAGAAATCGCGATCAACCCTTATGCAAAACTGCACGCGCCGGTGTTATGCCGAAAAAGGCATCCCTGTCGTAGAATGCATGCCGGTGTTCTGACGAGTTGAGCTTTTAGGGTTTTTTGGGGGTTAGGGTTTTAGGTTTTTTTTTGGCGGTTAGGGTTTTACGGGTTTTTTGGGGATTAGGGTTAGGGTAAGGGCTATCGATTAGCGCAACGGTAGCCTAACTCGACAAAGTAGCTCAATTCGTTTCAGATCAGCGACCAATCGGTCATTTAGAGAGGCACGCATTCTACGGCAGGGATGCCTTTTTCGGCATAACACCGGCGCGTGACACTTTGGACCCCGTGCCATCAAGCGAAACATTCCGCGAGGCAGCGGGCAAAGGACGCATGCAGCACTTTTATTAAATAGTCCATGAGTTAATGACATCGGTTAGGATTTCAGTTGTTCTTTTCTTAATAATAAACAAGATCAAGTCCAATCTAAACTTAAGCAGTTTTTTCTAGCAAATAGGCCTACATTCAACAAGTGCATGAAATAACTGCTGGCGTATTCTGATGTATTCAAAGTAAACGTAAAATAAATGTAATTTTTCGATAACATTTAATAATCATTATGATCACCTACCCATTATATTATTTTATTTTCTGGAAGAAAATAAAACGAGTCAGAGAATTTACGAACTTTCCTCTTCATCGGCGTCAGGGAAACCCAGGTGTTTACTGTTGTTGTGGAAACTACGCTTATTTTACGCAAATTTCGCAGAGGTGGCGTGCGCAAGCCTCTCCGACGTGCCTTGCATGGCTAGCCGTGACTGGTGCAGTACGAGCGTCACTTTACTGCAGACAAGACGTCTGATGGGGGAATCAGTGGAGTCCGTGAATAGCTATTTGTCCTTTGCGTCTACACATTACCGAAATGCCCAGACGTACGTTTAAAATGCGGTCAGACAATACCCGTGGGCGTTTTACAGCATTATAGGGCCATTTCATTTGGGCAAATCCGTTTGCAGTTTTATTTTAACAGACAAGCGTGCAATCTTATCTGACACAACTGTTCTAATTTTACCCTCCGCCCTTCCCGATCTGTAAAAATATGGGTTAATGCGGTTCGCTGTACTTGCGTCGTGTTTTCTTTCGTCAATGAATCGTGAGGACTCTGGCCGTATTACGGATTTCACCGCCCCCGTACTGTAGGCTGGGTGATCGTGCCAGTTCATCCGCCTTTACAGGGTACAGGACGAAGATGTCCGGTTCCCAGTTTTCGTTACGATCCAGGTCGTGAGATCCCAGAATAAAGGGCATTTTAAATGACTCCACCATGACATTCCTCCGCATATAAGCCCTCGGAACTCCGACCTTACGTGCCTTGTGGCAGTAAACCGGTGTAAAATAACACAAATGAAGTCTTATTGTCTATCAATAGATTTTACTACTCCGCTATATTAATTCATCTCGTTCAGCTCACACGAATCATCTGTCATAAATCAAAACCTAAAAGCAAAAACTGTTTATTTAAACTTTGGTAAAATACGTTGATTGATGCTGTTGTGACAACATTATCGGCTGTTTGTTATAAGAATACTGGAATTTGAGTATTTTAAGGCAGGTGCTGACGCGCCATTCCCAGTGGTTCACCTTAGTCAGGCTTAGGGGCAGACGCTGTTGTAATTTTCCGCTCATTCATGTGTGTGGAAGTGTGTATGATATCAACAGAAGATCGTGCGAACAGGTTGGGATAGAGATAAGGGAGGGACCAGGGTTATACTGAGCTTTAACGTTTAAACTCTGGCTGCAGCATCCTAAATGTTCATGTCACGCGTATGACAGTTTACCTAAAAGGATGCATAATTATGATTATTGTATTAACATTTGACATTGATTAACAATGAAACTGCAGAAATATTTGCGTGTATTCGCATGTAATACAAATAACCACCTTTTATACGGATTTCTTCAGGGGCTTAATTTGACACCGCGGTTATACACATTTCGTGACACATGTGAAAGGAGGCTCCCTTTATTTTAACCATCTGTGGCTCCAAGGCGTCCTCAGCCAGGCTCGCTGGCCCCAAGGACTTCTGTCTCCCCGGGAACCGGGACAGCATTCAAGTCCGTCCCCATCGCCTGCACGCAATTGCTGCCGTGCCTCTCGCGTGTGCGGCTCTGCACACATCCGTCTGATTTAATGGCACGATATCGCCGCGCGCTTTCTTTGAACACGCAAATTGCCGTTGCGTGACTTTTGATGCTTTGACGTTATTGCTTCGTGAACGCTGCCCGTGGTTCATTTGCATTTCACTTTGTAAAATGACTCTGCTGGCCCTGACACAGGCGACGGCGGCAGCCGTACAGGCACCATGCTTCTGGTTTAATTCATCACTTAATATGAGGACAAAACAAGCAGCTTGAGTTTTTTTTTTTTCGAGACGCGAGACACCCTTCAAAATTTGCCCGCTGGATAGGCAATCTCTTTGCAAATTTACTACTGAAAGCCAGTCACCTTGGTTATATGTGTTGCCTGATGTCCGGAACCGTGCGTTTAATGAAATCAAACGCTGTATGTGTGCCTGTATCTGCTCGCCGGCATGCGTGTGTCAGCTAAAACGGTCATATAAATAGTAATGCATGACAGACCGGAGAGTCTTGCGACGCCTCTCACGCCACTTCTGTGTTACACATTTGCGCGCCGCGGATGTCGTGACTATTCCCCGTCACATCAGTTCAAATAACCACAGAGGGACTGAAGTATGCAGTCACGCACCCGGGCGGGGCGGGACGCCGCAGCCCGATCAGCTGTATCACACGCTTGGTGGGAGAATAGTTAAGACACAGGCTATAAACTAAATAAAGTACACCGTGTATGTTTTACAACCAGATTGAGGCTATGAAGGCGACTAATCTCAGTTTTTGACTTACTCCAACATACCAAAAATTATTTTGCTTATATATAGACTGTATCCAGGGGCGTAGGTTTCATATTAACATGGAGGGAGGGGCGGGAATAACAGGGTCAAAGGTGTGACATCACGTCGCAATATGTTCGTTTTTTATTCGTAAAGTATTGCTTTTATAGATACAATATATAAAGTGATCTTTCAATTTTTGCTGTTATTTATTATCACTAATATGGTAGTTTAAGTGCATTAACCTCCCGCATTGTGGAGGCCTACACTGAATTATTAAAATTAGGCACAATACGCGAGATTCCCTAGCGAAAGTCAGACTCTGCGCTGCGGAAAAATGACGTCACCTCAGGGTCACTCTCCTCCACTCTGTCTTCTCTCACATACACCCTGATTTTACGGAAAGAATCACTAGCACAAACACAGAATATATGCTTAGAAGTAAATACAGGAGATTTATTGAATGTCTTCTTAGCGATAAATCAGACTTTCTGCCTGCACTGTGTATGAACTAAATGATTGTGAGTTTTTTGTGACTGAGTAACTTAATTACGTTATGGTGTTTTCCAAGTAAAATCCAGTTCTTGCCCCGTTTTGACGGGCTTCTTACTCATCCTTATGCCATGACTGTAAAGGATGTAATGAAAATTGTGACTGACGCCATTTACCGCTGCGTTATGCTATTACCTAACCAAGTAAGATAAGATCATCTTTATGAAAATTAATCGACATGAGACGATTAAATTTCACATAATCTTTACAAATTAATTGTTGGTTATGAGCGACTATGTAGGCCTAGTTCGCGATTATAGTTCCCAACTATGCTTTTGGGAAACGCACCCTGGAGCGCGAGTTTAAACTGAACCATTTTAACTGTATGAATTAAATTTATGGTATTATTTCTATATTAGGCCTATATGTGATATTATTATTATATATGATTTTATAGCCCCGCCCTAATTCTACGACAATGTTTAATATAAT